CCATGTGTCACTCGACTACCGATGGCAGCTGTCCCGGCATGCAGCGTGGCTGCTTTGCTGCCGACGAGTCTTGCGACAGCAGTTCATCACCACGTTCAATGGTGGTGCATGTGTCGGTACGGCCATCGTGTGTGCTGCCCATGCTGCTAATGACACCGTCCTGTGCTGATGTGGCTGTCCTGGTCAAGAACCTACTTGTGACATCGCACAGCACAGGTCAGTGTGCGTGTGTGTTCGGGGTGTGTTTGTGTGCGTGTGTGTGTGTGTGTGTGTATGTACATGTATGTGTACGTGGGTGTGTACGTGCTACATTGTCAACACTGGACTGTACCAGGGTGGATTTCAATTCACCGGACGGTGAAAGTGTAAGTGTTTGGGTGTCACTGTGCTGCATATTTACTGACCGGATGGTATTTTCTGTCGCCTCACTGTTTGTCAATACTTTTCTTGTTTCTATGCAGTCGAGCACTCTGTGACTGAAGCTACCCTCACAGCTGACATGTACACATCAGTGTCTGTTGTATGGCCAGCAAAGGCTCAAGCTAAGACAACACACGTATCGGTAGGTTTCACGCTACCTGCGTGTACTTTGAACACTGCATGGACCACTCTTGTCGAAAAGTACGAATGGTGAACATGACCCAGTTTTTTTTCCTGAGTTGCTCTAGCATTCTGTCTTGAATGTGTGTGAGCCCGCAGCAAGAGTATGCACATGGTGAAGTCGAGCTGTTCATCCAGGAGCCATTGTGCAAAGGCTCCCAGTGTGTTCTTTTGCCCACTTTGGTGGATGCATGCATGCAGAGTCTTTCACTGTCATGTCATCAGGCCCCAGGAAAATCACTTTCTTCTGGCGCTCTGCCATTAGAACATACCCAGTGTGTCACCACAGCCAGCGTACTGTGTTGTGTTCCCGAATTATGTCTTTCCTCTGCAAGTTTGAACTAACTAGTAACTGGTCGCCGGCTTTGAATCGTATTGCTGACTCACTGTGTGCCATGTCTGTACATGTACTGACTGGCCCGGCAGTCGACTGCATGTATATGCTAAGAGTGACACACACCAAGCACGCTGCGCGCACGTGCTGTAGCAAATGATGCATGTGTCTGTATACTTCATCCTCGTTGAGCTCTTTTCAAAATGGAAAATGCTGAACCGGACAAAAGCTGCAGCTTGTGCAACAGAAACTCGACTCATGAGCAGTTTAAACTAGGAAATACTTTGAAGTAGCAAGTATTTTATGACTTGCTGGTTTCAACTTTGCAATGCTTACCAGTATCGTTATCCTGTTTGCTTCTACCACTCTGCCGTGTAGCCGGCTGACATTGATCTCTTCAAGACGCTCATCTCTTCACCTTGCACCTATCTTATCTCCAATGACATACAGTCAATTAATTTCATCCAGGTTTCGGGTGAGTTTCTAAAGCACTTAGATTTTCGACACGGGGTTGATGACTAAGCGGCGCGGGGGAGTTTTTCTGACACATCACACACGAAAACCACATAGTGCTTGCTTTGAGTTTAGAAGTACTTATAGCCGTGAGTGAATTGATTGTGATATTTCCCCAGGCTAGTGCCTTAGCTGGTAGCGTAACGGTCGGCAGACTCTGCACATTGTCTTTGCAACACATCCCCATGCCGTATTGTCCACATTATGTTTACCGTGAGTTAGAAATCCAGGTTCCAAAGATAAGTTGTCATCAGGCTGACCAGGCCACACACACACACACACACACACACACACACACACACACACACACACACACACACACACACACACACACAGGCTCCAGGAATGACCGGTAGTCTAATGGTCCCTGTGTAGCTCGTACGTCGAAGTATTCCAATCTGGAAGGAGCTTGTTGAGCTCCTCAGAGCAAGCATATTTACATGGGGTCCTATTGTGACTCTGACTCTCTCTCTCTCTCTCTCTCTCTCTCTCTCTCTCTCTCGCTCTCTCGCTCGCTCGCTTGTCTATGCTACCAGGCGAAGTTCTGGATGTGGAGAAGAGTACAGCATTCTCTTGGTCAGCCTGTACTGTGTGTGGTGCAGATGTGGAGGAGACCAGTGATGGGTTAGTGAGTCTTCAAAGTTACTCCATGTACATGTTGTATACCCGGGTTGCAAAGTGAGCAGACCCTTGTCAACACAGTCTGGTACTCGCAATATCTGATACAGGACCACATGTAGCGCCTTTGTAGGTGTATCATGCGGTGCGGGTGTTTGTGCTCGTAGATGTTGGTGTGTGCCCGTGCATGTGTATGTGTGTATGCGCACATGCATGCATGCGTAGGTACATGTGTGGGTGTGTGGGTGCATGAGCATGTTATTCATGGCGATGTCTTAGCCAAGCTGCTCCACTGCTGATAGTAGTTATGTGTTGTCACTAAGCAACGCTGCATCCATTGTGTGTGTTGCTGTCTGTATGCTTACTCACCGCACTGCAGTGTTCATGTGTATGTTCTATGTATACTTACTCACTGTGCACTGCAGTATTCCAGTATCCCTGTACTGCCGACACTGTGGTGCTGTGCTGGATGAGGCCACTGTCAAACCCTACATGCAACTCAACGTCTTTCTACTGTGGACCAGCAGAGAGACGGATTCACAGGCGTCGCCGCCAGCCAAGTACAAGCTGCTAGTGAGAGTAAGTGACTCCACAGACACACTGAAACGTAGCTGAGCGGCTGAGTCTTTACAGACAACTTTCCCACTGGCTAAAGAACAAACTAGCTTCCATGCACTGGAGCTAGTAACCGAGCCTCCCTTAATTTAACACCCGTTATCAGGATGGAAGCAATTGGGCACTAGATGGCTTTGGTTCCGCGTTCATTTCTTTTTAAGAGCCGCAGTCGCAGACTTATATTTTTTTGTTTAGTTGTTTAGCTTGTACCATAAGCACATTGACCCTTGATGTTGGCAGTGTTCCTACGGATGCGGAAAAGTCTGTCTGAGTGACTCTCGAGTAAACCATTAAAAAGCACACACCTACAAAATATAAGAACGGCGGCGGACAACACAAAAATCCGAATGTGACCACTTCATGTATGTAGCAGTGCAGCAGGGCGGACAAAGCACCACTAGAGGTTCTTTCGGCGAGCGGTCTCCACTTCATCATTCTTAAAGGGATGCGTCGAGACTGCACCTACCTTTTCTTCCGGCCAAGCTTGGGTGGAAGGACTAGCTTTTCCTTTCCTCTCCCGCTGCGAACACAGCAGAATATGCTCGTCGTCATCTTGCGTCTCAATCCCGTCAATGTGCATGAGTTGTACTGGCCCAAAACACTTTGGCTTCTGATTGCTTCATGGCCATCCTCTTTCTCACTTCAAGACTATTGAGTCGATCTCATTCCATGCCCGGACCCTGAGACTAGAATCTACTTCAAGTGCCTACTTTACACCGCACAGAGGCAGTGTATCTCTTGTGTACTCTACACCGCACAGAGGCAGTGTATCTCTTGTGTACTCTACAACGCACAGAGGCAGTGTATCTCTTGTGTACTCTACAACGCACAGAGGCAGTGTATCTCTTGTGTACTCTACAACGCACAGAGGCAGTGTATCTCTTGTGTACTTTACACCGCACAGAGGCAGTGTATCTCTTGTGTACTCTACACCGCACAGAGGCAGTGTATCTCTTGTGTACTCTACAACACAGCACAATATCCGTGTCACTAATTTTTCTCAATTTCTCAAAACCAGCTGGTTGGCACTGAGAATAGATGTTCGTGGAGCACTGTCGCTACATATGCACACTGGCGAAGTTTGATTCCACGCTGGTTAGTACCGGACTACGAGTATTCACCGTATGCCCTCCTCGCAAAACTGTGAGCCTAAGTATGCCGTGAACGTTATGCAGCTTACAGTATACATACATATACAGTGGTCCCTCTATAATCCGGCACCATTTGTGCCACGAAAATCTGCTGGATTAGGGAGGGTGCTGGATTAACAAATCTGATCTACTGCTGCAATGTGCATGAAGAGGACATTTGGCTACTGAAAATTGTGCTGGTTTATCGAGGGTGCTGGATTATAAAGTGCCGGATTAGAGAGGGACGACTGTACAATTATACATGAGTCACGCTACCTAGGGTGGATGGTAGATCTACATGTGTGATCAAGGTCTATGGTATGCGAACAACGCTTAAACTACATCTGTGTGTCAAGTGATGGTGTATCTTCTCAGGTTTATTATGGAAAGTCAAAGAAAACCGTCTGAATCTGCCTTTGAGCCCCTGGGGTTTTCCTTCACCGGTCACATGCCGAAACTAGCCACAGGATTACAATAAGCCCGGGGCGAATTTCATAAGCTTGGATCATCATGTGAGGGCAGTCTCTCCATGAAACACTTGATGGCTTAATCTGGGAAGGCTTACCGTAAAATCTCGCCAGAGCGCCCCTACCTCCGCAACCATTCGAGTAGATCCGTTTGGGGAGGGGCGGATGGGCGAGTCCTACTTGCCGCATTCAGTACTACATGAAAAAGTACTCACCCTACGAAATCTGTGCGTGCGTCTCGTACACCGACCAAAGGCCAAGAGCTGGGAGTCGTACAGACCTATCAAAAACCATGTTTTGTGCGATCCCTTTTCAAGAGGGTGGGAACTGTTGCGTACCGATTTCCAACCAGGTCGAGGACGCGTCTGCAGTACAGGACGGCCTCACACATTTCACAGAGTCATACGAGGATACAGCCATTATCACTTCCCTGACAAGAAGTCCGGGAGGAGTTCATGGGAGAGACGGGGCGCTCTGGCGGGATTTTACGGTACTAGCATAAGCCCTGGGACTAACAATCCTGGTGCTTTTTCTCGTATAAACACCATTTTTGGAAGTGAAATGAAACATCATGTGCTTCACATGTGTTTTCCTTGTTCTGCATTACATGTACTAGTAGTTCAGTGTGCTCGTTCTTCTTCTGTTCGTGTGTTTCTGCTTCCTGTTTTTCAGCTGGGACAGGAGTCTATCTCAGCTATCCTGCCACCGCTCACTGACTCGCAGAATCCGGATGTGGTGAGTGATGAAATGTGTGGTTTTGTATGCAGCTTTAACTTTGTGTATCCTTGTAGCTGGTCCCTAGCTGGCCGGCTGTGTACCTCCACATGGCAAACTGTACTTTGCCAGTGCCCATCTTTCTAGAAATTTGGAAAAAAAACTTGACTTTGCTCGTTCTTAGCTTTTACAGTCTGACCCTACAATTGTCCGCATTGCCCGTTTTCTTCCATCTAGTTTCAACTTCTCCGTCTCAGTCTCCATTACCAGCGTAACGTACTCTCTTCTAACCCATTGGGTATGATGCGAAATGTGCCACTGTCGGCTTCTTCGTCTCATCTTTTTCATGTTGCAGCCAGTCTAAGACTGATACTTTGAAGTCATCCGTAAAGCATCTGTTAGTGTAGTGTTCAGGTGTGCAGAGGTCTGGGAGAAAGAACTTGACAGCTCGCAACGACTTAACTCGCATTACACAACTGAGCAAATGTAAACCAGAGACTTACCATTGCTGCCTGTATACCACTGCACTGGTCTCTCGTGTGCATTGCCATCTTGTTTCCACTGACGCTGACCTCTATTTGAAGGTCAAATACCTACCACACGAATAGTTCTGTGCTTCTATTCACCTAGCGTGTAGTGGTCAGCATCCTGATTGTGTGTGTGCGTGTGTGTGTGTGTGTGTGTGTGTGTGTGTGTGTGTGTGTGTGTGTGTGTGTGTGTGTGTGTTACGAAGGGATACGATTTCTCACTGATGATCGGCAAGCATCTCCCCATCATGACTTGTATCATTACCTCTGTCACTGTTGAGGCTGCTGGTAAGTGGAAGACTAGACAAGTGTGTTTTATGTTCTTGGTAAAGGGTGACTCGAATACAAATTATACAATGGCAGATCCAGTTCCTGTCTTTCAAAATTGTAATGCTTCCAAGCGTTGCCTGCACAGTAAATCCCACAATGCCGGAAAGGTTGTCAGTGCAGACAATCGGTGGATGTGCACTGTGTAGATCTTATACAATACACATCACAGGCTGCAATCTCCATAGTAACTGTGCCACGCTGAGGGTCTTAGTGGCAAAAAAAACTTTGAAGAAGCAGCTGATCAAGTGAGGACTGACGTGGCATTTTTGTTTCGTTGTGGGAGAGTCTTTCCTTCTGGCAGTTTTGCTACTACGATGGGCAAACGTGGTTGTGCTGTTGGCTGCAGTAACTGGTCTAAGAAAAGCTCAATTGTCAGTTACTACCGCTTTCCGGCAGACCCTGTGAAACGGAAGAAGTGGACTGTGGCTGTTCGTCGTGACAAGTGGTCACCGAATCAAAACAGTTGGCTGTGCTCAGCATATTGTTAGTGGAAAGAAGAGTGACGACCGTCTCTCTCCAGATTATTTGCCGTCCATTTTTTTCATTTCTACAAAGTCCTGTGAAACGGAAACAGAAGGAGCAACTGTGCGATATGGGCGCATGCTTCACCCAGCCTCGCTTTACAGGTGCGGTGGGCGCAAATAATAGTACCAGTGTGCTCTGCAGCTACCCATGGTGTGCGAGCTGCTGACTGACTGGGAATGTCTCACTTTCGCTTTGACAACTCTCTTTTTACGATTTGATGTTGCTTCGTATGCACTCACATCTCCCAGCCACCCTGCCACAAAGACATTTGTGACCGTCAAGACTTTTGTACGCCTTCAGTTCGTCCTTTGTAACTGGGCTAGGGGCTGCAACGAGAGAGCTTGGAAGCTCAGGGCCCTACGCTATGCTTTTATGCTTTTTTGCCTAGCTCATCGTACATGTTTTAAGAACTGATGGAAATGTCTTTTTCCGTTGATTGGCCACATCACTGTATTGCAAAAACGTTTCCACATTTCACGTCAAATTTTAAATCGATCGGTATTTTTGCTCTCACATGCATCCATTGCTCAATCATGCATCATTTGCCTATACGACAAACTTTGGCCTGCGATTTACTTTGGCCGGTTGATACCAAGCGGCGAAATCAGCGAAATTAAATCGCCAGCGAAAATTAGTTGATTTTAATACAGTAATCGGATTTTCTGGCCTTTTTGTAGTAATACATGTACATTGACCTGTTGAGCCAATGACGACGCCGAATGCATGGTTCTGTGGAGCACGTTACATAACTTTACAGTCTCCTAAAATACGTATCCTGTCCGACGGCAAAAGAGGCTGCAGATTTAGTTTTTCTGCGCGTCGACGGGATGTCTGCGACGCGAAAGTTCAGCTCGCGTTATTTGGCTCGCACTTCGAAAAATCAACGCGAGTGACCTGCTGCTCACGTCGAAATTTGGACATTACATAACTTTACAGTCTCCTAAAATACGTATCCTGTCCGACAGCAAAAGAGGCTGCAGATTTAGTTTTTCTGCACGTCGACGGGATGTCTGTCCTGACGTTTACTGGGACCGGCGCTGACTCTGCCAATCACGGGCGTTCTGGACTCGACGGGATGTCTGTCCTGACGTTTCCTGGGACCGGCTTAGACTCTGCCGATCACGGGCGTTCTAGACTCAACGGAATGTCTGTCCTGATGTTGCCTGGGACCGGCGGACTCTGACGATCACGGGCGTTCTGGAGTCGACGGGATCTCTCTTCCGACGTTTCCTGTGACCGGCGCTGAATCGCTCGTTCACGCTTATTTTGGAGACGACGGGATCTCTCTAAGTATGTTTATGATGACGCATCCTATCACCTACTCGGCGTCTATTCTAATTTAATTTCCTCCTCGTCTCCCTATTTCTTTTCAAATCTCCCTCTACATCAGGGAGTCGTATACATAATACGACGAATATTGGTACGGTACGGGACAGATACAGGAGCCCGCAAATATTGTGGACAGCTGTTATGTACAATCCTGTAGAGCCTTTGTAGTCACAGATACGGGACAGATACGGGACAGATACGGGACAGATACGGGATAGCTCCAGCCGTGACACAAACAAACAAACAAACAAACAAACAAACAAACAAACAAACACCAAATTAAAGCTGTGTGGACCCTGGCTAGCGCCAGACGTTACTGAAGTAACGTCTTCTGCATAGCTACGGGAATTAAATAATTGAACTGGTCCGGATATTCCACCAGAGGAAGTAAGCCTGGCAAGTTATCGTCTTGATGGCTACTGGCGCAGTACGGATCTTTCGCTCCCTTCGCGATCAAGTTTAACTTCTCGTAACGCTTCTTTGCAGCCTCGCCCCAGGTATTCCGATGAAACCCCTACCACCCCGCGTTGCTCGCCATCCATTACCTGACTACTATCACAATGTGTTGAGGAGGCGTTCACTTGTTTCCTCAGGTTCCTCTGCTGGGAATGCTGTCCGTTGGTGGTCTGGATTTGGAGTATGCTGTGCGGTACACAGTATGCGTACGATGCTCTCTAGCGTGCATACTTCCTCTCCAGTTCCGCCATCTTCCATTTGACTAATGCAAGCTTCTCTCTGAAGCTCAGGTTTTCGGCCGTTACAGATTCCAGTTTTGCCGAAGTATCACTGAAAATCTCATCCACACTTTCTCTTGTGTCTCTCTGCTCCCGCACAACTTGCTGGAGAAGGGAGGGAGCGCCGTCTCATTGATGGCTGTCCACTTCCTTACGTATGCTGTTTAGAGGGGTGTTTTGCAGAAGTCTTCTTGATCCAGTATGGTCCGCTGGGCTGATCCCGGACCACCTGTCTGTGCTGATCCTGTCTTCACGCCAGAGTGCTCCGTGACACAAACGGCTGAAGACCCAGGCCGCATAACACTGGGGCTGTGCTTCAAAGCAAGGACACGACTACAAAACGGGCACCTTTGTAAACGCTGGCCGAACTTCTAACTCGTCGATGACCCCGCCGCTGCAACCGCCTCATGGCCTGTTGGACGGCTTCGCGTATATGGCCTTGCTGATGATTCAGCAGATGAGTTCACCTAATCCTATTGAGGATAGTACATGACAGTATATGGATATGTTAGCACAGGACACATGTAGTTCCTGTTAGTACTTGCAAGTAAGTACAATGTCATGTGCATACATGTGCATACATGTACAAACAATAATAAGAGGATGAAAAAAGTGTACATACATCAAACTGTACATACATACCTTGTACATACATGTACATGATACTCAATCTCCGGACAGCTAGCTGTTTCGACCTTGTAAGGTGTTGTCAGCGGAACTCAGAGATACTGGCCAAACCCATCGCAATGAAGTCTGGTGAACATACATACTGTACATGATACATGTAGCTGGCTTTGAAAAATATTGCTATTAATTTTCATTGCAATCAGGTTCGGCCACTTTTCCTCTGTGCTGCGCTGATGAGTCCACAAAGGACAAACCAGTTCTGTCCGCAGATTAATTAAGTATACATGATAGGTAGGAACTGAGATGTTGGGACTTCGGCGGTAGTTGTAGAAGGTGGCTGCTCGGAATGCAGGAATCCGAGCTTCCTGCCGACTGACTGACACTTTTAACTGACTCACAGCTGATAGGTAGTATCGTGCTTTGTGTATGCTTTCCAGCAGTGCAGTGCATGCCTGTAAGCACTGAGTCATGTGTCATTACAATCATCGTCATGTTCTGAAGTGCAGTGCCAACCCTACATTGTAGTACGCATGCATTTTTTTCGTGTATATAAAGTTATTATTATAAACACCTCTTGTACGGGCAGAACTCAAAACAATGTTGCACATGTACACATGCATTTCAAAACTAAAGTATGTGTAAAGAGCAATCAGTGACGGCTTAAAACGACACGCATGAGTGCTGCAGTACGCACTGTACTTCAGTACTCATACATATGCTCTGCTGCACTACTTCACTACATGTACATGTTGGCTGGTACATGTACATGTAAGTGTACTGCAGTACTGCAGTACTGCAGTAGCACAGTCATATCGTCAGTACATTAACACTGTGCAGTGCATGGATGTGCTAGCTGGTAAACAGTTACCACTGTTAAGATGACAACTTGAGTTTCCCACCTTCGGATTGCAGGAAAGTTGCCTCCAAGAGCCAGCCCCCTTGCACAGTTCCCACTTACACTTAATATGTATTCAAAACACGAGTGGATACGAAGGCAGTGAAGAACATGGAAGAAAGAAAAAATGTGATGTGGAAGAAATGATGAACGAAAATCTTACTTCGAACTAGTTTTCGCACAACACTCCTCAGGAAGCTACGTTGTACTAATGAAAAACAATCCAGAAAGATACTAATTAAGAGAAATGGAGTGAGAAGAAACACCTATGAACATGATAATCCTAGCACTAAGGTAATAACAGGAAAAACTGCGAAAGCACTTGACGAACTTGTAAGGACTAATAGTATACTGTGACATAAGATATGACACCAGGGCCAACCAGGGCCAAACAAACAGAACAAGCTGCTACTAAACGTGAGACGAGGGACGGGAGGAGACGGGACCTGATTGCTCCAAGGCAGGACGTCGTTGAGGAGGATTCGGCCAGTGAGTCCGGTGAGTGTGGGAGCGAGAATGATTGTGTGAGTAAGAGTGGGTGCGAGCGTGTGTTTTCTAGTAGGAAGTCATCAGTGTATAAGCATCTTGTATCTCGTCCTGATTGCTGCAAGGTTTATTCTGATTCTTTTTCTGTTTTGTGCCGTGCTCGTCATGGTTATAAGTTGCAGTTGAGTGTGTTAGAAGCTGTTTGTCAACGTATTCATAAGCCTGATCTGTGTGTCCAGAAGGACAGCATTATTCGTTTGAAACTGTTTTAGTAGCAGCTTGTTCTGTTTGTTTGGCCCTGGTTGGCCCTGGTGTCATATCTTGTGTCACAGTATACTATTAGTCCTTACAAGTTCGTCAAGTGCTTTCGCAGTTTTTCCTGTTATTACCTTAGTGCTAGGATTATCATTTTCATAGGTGTTTCTTCTCACTCCATTTCTCTTTATTAGTATCTTTCGGGATTGTTTTTCATAAGTACAACGTAGCTTCCTGAGGAGTGTTGTGCGAAAACTAGTTCGAAGTAAGATTTTTGTTCATCATTTCTTCCACATCACATTTTTTCTTTCTTCCATGTTCTTCACTGCCTTCGTATCCACTCGTGTTTTGAATACAATAAAAGCCTTTGTGAAATGTCGGTTCAGCTCGTTCTGTTGATCGCAATTCTAAAACTATTGTCGCCTCGACGTCTATTTACTTAATATGTCACAAGTTTTATGACTCGTTGGGAAATTAGGGTGACGATAAGTGGAGTGGCGGCATGTGTCTTCTCATTCATGCGCCGTGGGGAAGTGGGGAGTTGCAGTTCAGTGGTGGGAGAGCTGTGAAGCTCCGTCTCTCCCTTTCTGCCCTCTGTTGTCCTTGTCGATCAAGTGCCCCCTTTGCTGGTTAGCCCAGCCCCGGCAATCACTTAGATCAACAGCTGATTGGGTAACTGAATACTAGTAGCATGCCTATTGCCTCTCCACTGTATAGCTACACCAGGATGGTAGTGTTCTAAGTAAAGACCTGTTGTATTATGCTGTGTTAGCGTAAGGGAAACTAATGAGGTTGAGTCAAGCACCCTATGTTTACTAACAAGTGATTGGACCTGCAAGGTTTCACAGTGCGGCTTGTCACATAGCCACACCAGTTTGTTGACAGGTCTCCAGCGCCAAGATTCTTACCAGAGGGCTTTGTAGATTGGTGAACTGGCTGAGCTTAGGGAGATTTGGAGCATCGCCGGTATGTACTTGTCGACATGCGCGCCGCAATCATGTTTGTGTGTGTGTGTGTGTGTGTGTGTGTGTGTGTGTGTGTGTGTGTGCGTGTGTGTGTGCGTGTGTGTGTTTCTTTTCCAGATTTGATTTTTGTACGAGCAAGAGAGATGCCGAAGGCCTAGGCATTGTCATGAAGAACAGCCTGGTCGTGTGCGGCTACAAGTACATGTATGTCGTTGCAAATGAGGCATTGCTCCATTGTGTTATTCTCTCTCTCTCTCTCTCTCTCTCTCTCTCTCTCTCTCTCTCTCTTTCCTTCCTCTCTCACTTTCTCTCTCTCTCTCTCTCTCTCTCTCTCTCTTTCTCTCCTCTCTCACTTTTTCTCTCACTTTTTTCTCTCTCTCTCTCTCTTTCCCCCTCTCATATCAATGAACCACAATACCATCCTGTTTCACTTGCTTGCGTTTGCTTGTTGTGTATGCTTTCAAAGCACCGTTGACTCATGTACAGTACTCTATTGAATATTCGTTTACTGTGTTTTGGACTCTGCACACTTTTATCCAACTGAAACAAGGGTGTGATCTACTGAACTACCTGCCTAACAATCCATGAAGCGAATAGTAACCAATACCACTGGTCAACCAGTTGATGTCTTTAGTATCCGCCTTCAGCACAGTCTACTCTCGACAAGTCGCTCACTCAGTCTTGCGGACAAACGTGCATGACTATCGCCAGCCAGTATATCACCTTCAAGTACACATACTGTATAGACAAGTACATAGTACTACATACCACCCGGATTGCAAAGTGCATGGCTTTTTGCGAGTGACTAATCTCGATCATGCTATGTTATGGCGATCCCTGGGCCATCTGGCCTGGACCTTTCTCCTCATTTGGGCAACATGTGCATAGGTGAAACAAATACAAATACCCCTGGTGTCAGCGCACAAATACCACTCGTTTCAGTGCTATTCATGTACGTGTCTCTGTGCTGAGTTAGGCTCGGCCACATCCTGTTCATTCACGATAGCACAAAGGGATTGTCCCAGGGGATTGTCCTGGGTGTGGTGTCTCTTTGTTAGTCTTTAGTCTCAACCATTATTGAGTGTCAGTAGGATCGGTTTGCCACTACATATTATGTTAAATTACTAATACTGAACTGTAGTATCACGTGCCATACAGCCTCGGTTCCCAGTTGAGCAGATGTGGCAGTCTGTGTACTGGAGTAGTGGTGGCTGTGTGAACTGACTGAATTCTTCAAGTATGTGCGGAAATGTGCGTTTGAATCAGGTCAGCTTGGCCCTGCAGATACAGTGTAGCTGGGCGGCCATACTGGTCATACTTGGTAATTGGAGAGCTGCTGTACTGTGCCAAGCATGTGTTGGCTGATGGTAGCCTTGCTCAGACAGCACCATGCATCCACCCACACTTACATTCATCCATGTGCAGGTGCATCTATGACTACTGGATGCAAACAGAGGATGCAATCAAACCGAAGCAAACTAGCTATGCGTAGTGTTATTGCCTATCCGGACCTGTGACTATTACCCATACGTATTAGGCCATTGCGGCATAATAATTCTATTATACTCATAGTCATACCAGCACCGGTGCACCACAGTGAAGGGATGTGGGAGTGTTGCACACAGTCAGTAGGATTACAGGTCTGCCTCAGGTCAGTCTTCCCATGCGTAGCCTAGCCTAGGTGTGCAGACTGCATGCAGTGCTTCTACATCTTCGGATACTAGCGCGTGTGCCCATGGTGACTGAGTCTGTATGAGGGGGAGCACGGCACACTACCACACTCCCCACACTATAGTCTATACACTTATGTACAAATGATATACTAGTAGTAGATGTAATAGTAGACGTACACGTTCATAGAAATAACACAATCATGAAGACCAACTCCCTGATGTACACGCTCATAGAAATAACACAATCATGAAGACCAACTCCCTGAAGGCCTGATGAAAACGTGTGGATGTTGTCGGAAATATCTGCACGATCAGTCATACTAAGTACAGCACATCATGCAGAACTAACTAAATAACTTAGCTACACGCGTTACAGTGTAACACTGATCAATGAATCATGTCACTATTCAGGCACTAACGTATCCTGAAAGTGGCATGTTGACAGCGCTGTGCTATTTTGGAGTTGCCTGCCTAGTAACCATAGGCATACTAACGGTGAGCTCTAGTCTAGATAAATACAATGTCATGTAGTGCTATGTGACCACCATGTACCAACCACGATAATGGCGTGCTATTGTATTCCTGCACATGTACCAGGAGTTCGTAAATAACGCAGGCAAACCGAACAGAATAGAATGTACTGTAGCGCTAACTTCCGGACAGCGGGCAAACGACGTCCGCTTGAAACGTACAGTATCTTGAGTCAAAGCACATTTCCTGCAAATAAATGCCAGGAGCAGTGGCAGCAGTGGTCGCCAGCAGCTCAGCAGTTCACCCAGACGTATCCGACGCTATCGGAAGCCTTCAGGTAGTGGCTTCAATGAAAAATTTAAATGGTTCTCATACTCATAGGCTTGGACAACCTATTACAATTACTGTGTGTTGCAATCACTGTATGTTGCCAGTCACGACATCCATGATCCGCCAGCTCTGCATCCTCAATCATACCATGACGTACCGGGGTTTTTTTCAACCTCATTTCAGAGGCATGTTGCTATGGCCAAATTCATGTCAGACACACACATTTCAGATAATGAATTTACACAATGTGCTTATCATGGAGACTGAGCACTTTATTTTTTGATTGCCGCCCCAAGGTGTTCTATTATTGGAGACTGTGCTTATTTAGAGATAATAGTATACGGTAGATCTACATGCAGCAACGCTTCTTGAACCCCATCGGAGGCTTGCGAGAACCCTACCGGATGGACATCAACGGTTACGTAGATCTACAATCTACGCCCTTCTGAAGTTCTGTACTGCACACTGCTAGATCAGACCCGTACACCGCCAGTACTAGATCTACTAGGCAGTACATGTAGCCCAGCATACACATGATACCGTACTGGCAATATATGTTGCCGCGTAACGCGTAACGCAGGGGGGTGCGGCGTAACGCGCGACCAGGCTAGTGCGACAAATTTTCGTTGAGTTCGTAACGCGCGTCCGGCCGGGTGCGGCGATCTTTTCATTGCAGTTTGAAAAAAATTATGCGGCAATAGGAAAAAAATGATGCAGCAATAGCAAAAAAGTGATGCGGCAATAGCAAAAAAAGGACTGCGACAATATAGAAACCTGTGTAACGGCTCCTGTGCGACTTTGCATGTAACGCCCTGGGTGCGGCAAACATGTGCCAATGTAACGCTTCATGGCCTCACTGCGGCAACATATATTGCCAGTACGGTAATAGCAATTACCGTAAAGTACCGCCATAGCGCCCCGTCTCGCGAGAGCGCCCCACCTTGATTTTACAGCCAGAGAAAGGAAAATCGTATGGCAGAGTGCAACGAAGTTTGTACGATGTCAGAAGCTTAGTGTACTAAGGTCACACTTGGCAGGTTTTTGTGTGGAGCTTGTGTCCGCTCGAAGGTACGGATTGACTGCGAAACGTGCTATGTGTACAAGGTTCATGTCGTATGACCTACAGACAGCAGACCACCTCCACAATACGACCACGAAAGGATGAGATGGGGGGGGGGGGGGCTCTGGCGGTACTTTACGGTAATACTAATACTATGTGGGCTCCAGAAAATTTCTTCCGCTTCAAAATGGAATGCAGGCGGGCGCACTCACCACACACAGACGCACGCACATGCACTCAGAGTCATACTCTTGCCCATCGCTGGAGCGATGATAGCGAACAAGCTATGTCTATTTAAAATACATCGCAACTTGTGCTGGGATTACACCATTCAACAGCTTGCAGGGCTGATCGCCCCTATAATTTTAGCCTGGTCTAGACCACACAGCTCAAGAGAACTGGCTTTTTCTGGCCAGTGAGTCCCTATGTTTCATTTTTTTTCACACGCACGCACTCACACTCATGCACATCACACCACATACTCCGGCATGCACTGGCGGTTTGTAACCACCCAGGAGAATGAAAGAAGAACTAGAAGAAGGAAAAAGAGAAGGAATACCGGGTACATGTATGTGTGTGACCATAATCGTCGGGAATTGAACCCACAAGTTCAACCTCTTGATTGGAAATCGACTGCACACACACACACACACACACACACACACACACACACACACACACACACACACACACACAGTGACACACACACACACACGCGCGCACACCCATACTAGTGCCGGTATACACATCCAACTACACGTAATACTTTGACCTTGACCTTTGACCTTTGGCTTTGACGCCCATCGCCGGAGCGGATGATAGCGATGCTACAGCAGAAGCAATACCGTATTTTCCGGAGTATAGTGCGCACTTTAGATGTGCTATTTTAGGCCCTAAATCGCAGGTGCGCACTATGCTCCGAATATGAAATGCATGTACATGTACATGTACTTCAATGAAGATTGAAGTGCGCACCCGTACCCCCAATGAAGATTGGGGGTGCGCGATACAAAGGTGCGCACTATACTCCGAAAAATACGGTAGTTACTTGTGCTGGGACTGCAGTAATTGCACCATTCAACAGCTTACATTTACAAGGCTGAAGAACTGACCGCCAAAAAGAAGGAGAAAATGTCCTATCCAGGCCGTAGACGAAGACCAAGGCATTCATCGAGGTCTTGCAGTGTGCAGTCGGTCAGATCTACAGTCAGTAGATCTACAGTCTACAGATGAGGGAGTCGTATAATTATAATCTGATAATGCGACTCCCTCATGTACATACAGATAATAATTGTGTACAATAATTATTATTGTACCGTACGAAAGTATTCTACCATTTCAACACTGATATGACTGCATGCGGGCCCGTCCGGGCGTCGAGCCACGCTGCCATTGCTGGTAGATGTACTGATGTCAGTGGTCAGCGAGGAGTGAGGTAGATCTACGGACAGACTGTATTAATTAAAGGGGAAGTGCATCGATTTTTCAAGTAGGGCTCAGATGAAAGACAATTGGATATCGGTTCCGATGGTATATCTCTCGCTTGCGTCCGGCAAGGGAAACTTGCCATATCGCCGATTTCCTGATCCCGTTTCCATGGCGACTACAGGTGATGACGCACATTCTGCTTAGCTCCGTGAGAGAGAAGGTCGATCACTGCAGAATTGTGTCATTTTCAGTTGTCTTCTTGTTTTCACGAAGTGCAAGAAGTACTGTGTTCAATGCTGTTAGTGCCGTGAACTGTTTATTAGTAGTCCTATCCGTTGTGTACTGGGACGTGACACCGACAGGGGAAAGCTGGAGTGCGGAGACGTTAGCTGGCAAGCGAAAATCGTGACGAACCAAGTGCTGAAATCTTGGTTGGGACAAATCAAACGTTCAGCATTTACCTCAACCAAGGACCATGCCGTTTGCTCTTTCCACTTCCTGAAGATGGATGCGCTGCCTGCTGGAGACTCTCCTATCTCTCGTAACATCTTCTGAAGCCAGGTGAGACGACGAGTAGCGGAGATTAGCGAACGAAATAATGTCGTATGTTTTGAAATTTTGCTGCTCAGGAGAGATGGCATTATATAAACTTAGTCCATGTGAACTCAATCAGCCCATGAACTAACCCATGAACAAATGCTTTCCTTGCAGACGTGCATGTGTCTATCCAATCTACACGTAGAGATCATTCCATGCCCTCAGTGAATGGCCTATTTATATATTATTTGTCCATACACTTCATCTGCATGTTGTCTCTATGGAGAAGGGTACTGTTCATTTCATATGAAGAAGTTCGGGCAATAGATGCTTTCCTCTGGCACAATTCTGTTGACCTGATGTTCTTTCTAGCTTCATGGGTAGCTTAGGTGAGGTACCATCACCATCATGTTTACATGAGGGTCAAACACTGCACCGTTCTTTGTTGTGACATGACGTAAGTTATTGTAAGCCAGAAGTGCTTGCAGACTCCATACATTCCAGCAACACCTAGCATGGTTTTCCGTCAACGTTGTGGGTGAACAAATTCCTGTCCAACATATTTATACAGACATGCCAGCACACACCATGCGCCATACACACGCTTGCCCTGCCCTGTAGAGTCACAGCCACGTGGGCCCGGAGGGGCAGTGGAGAGAGAATGGGAGAACGCCGCCCCATGGCGCCCGGGACACAAAAACAAGAGTTTGTCCGGCTACTTAGGGAGCAACACACATAAATACACCACACACACACACACACACAAAATGAGAGTTCGGGTCATCTGCCACGAGACTGATGTACGGCCGGGGAGAGCTTCAGCAGCGGTGTCTATTCCTGCCCTGGACCGAACGGAAGCAGCGGTCGCGGGACACACAGTATTCACCACAACACGGCTCCACTGTCGTTGGGGGCTGAGCCACACACTTGTGACGGGCAAGAACGCCACAGCGATCACACTGGCATGCTCCACGCTGCTCCTGCACACCCACACACACTCTCTCTCTCTCTCTCTCTCTCTCTCTCTCTCTCTCTCTCTCTCTCTCTCTCTCTCTCTCTCACACACACACACACACACACACACACACTCACACACACACACACACACGTGCGCACATACTGCAAGAAAGAAAGAGAGCATGAGTGTCAGATTCTTGCATAGGAAGTGTTTATCAGCACACACTTATACATGCACATGCAGGCACTCAACGACCAACTATGCACCATGCCGTATGTTCGCCAAACATAAGATTGCAATACCAAAGAACAACATACTATTGAAATAAGATCACATACTTCGTTCTCCTCCAAGTGTGTCCTCCCCAGCCATTTCCCTAGGCGGAATGTAGCCTACGAAATGGTTTCTCTAGACTAGGAGAAGATGCTTGGTATTCGCCATCTCTCCTGAGAAATGTTCAGCAAAAATTTCAAAACATACGACATTATTTCGTTCGCTAATCTCCGCTACTCGTCGTCTCACCTGGCTTCAGAAGATGTTACGAGAGATAGGAGAGTCTCCAGCAGGCAGCGCATCCATCTTCAGGAAGTGGAAAGAGCAAACGGCATGGTCCTTGGTTGAGGTAAATGCTGAACGTTTGATTTGTCCCAACCAAGATTTCAGCACTTGGTTCGTCACGATTTTCGCTTGCCAGCTAACGTCTCCGCACTCCAGCTTTCCCCTGTCGGTGTCACGTCCCAGTACACAACGGATAGGACTACTAATAAACAGTTCACGGCACTAACAGCATTGAACACAGTACTTCTTGCACTTCGTGAATACAAGAAGACAACTGAAAATGACACAATTCTGCAGTGATCGACCTTCTCTCTCACGGAGCTAAGCAGAATGTGCGTCATCACCTGTAGTCGCCATGGAAACGGGATCAGGAAATCGGCGATATGGCAAGTTTCCCTTGCCGTACGCAAGCGAGAGATATACCATCGGAACCGATATCCAATTGTCTTTCATCTGAGCCCTACTTGAAAAATCGATGCACTTCCCCTTTAATTATTTTGTATCAGGTAGACATGGTAGATCATGCTACAAACGAGGCAGTTTTGTCTCTGTGACCAATGGCAATGGTGACATAAGTCATTCACACTCGATCTCACTACATGACTTGTACTACACTCTACAGACAGTACTGAGTCTACAGACAGACTCCAGCCACCGGCATGCACTGCGTCAATGTTGTGTCAAGCTTCGAATCCGGTCCGTAACAACAGGACAGCACAGCAGCAGCAGCCCTGCGACGTGTCCGACAGACCACGACGTCTTCACTTGACGTGTTTTCCCATTCGTTATGGTCATGTGGTCCTTGTGGAGGAACACACAGCCCCTTGACTGATCCGGCCGTAGCGGCACTAGCAGTAGAGTGCCGGGAGCTCGTCGATGTGCTGGCAAATGGCATTGAGTCTGTACGGCTGTAGACGAGTAGTGTAGGTCCAGCTAGCTAGTCCGGGGCACTAGTTGCCAAAACTCCTAGAATAGATCGATCGATGATCTTCTGGCGCACATGTCCACGCGATTCGTCGATGTCGGATTGCTCAGCTCGATCGCTGCTTGTCATGTAGCTGCTACACCTCACCAGCCGTCGCATGGTTTTAGCCGGCCCATTGCTCACGACCCGAGCGAAGTAATCAGCACCTTCAGTCAGTTCCGAGCACCACCGCCGCACTGAGTGACAGTCTGCCTCGGACTATCTGTTTGGCTACGAAGACATCGTCATAACGCAAATAAGTTGGAGTTGCTTCTTCTAGGGACGCTGGAACCCACCCTTCTTTGCCTTGGAGTTTGAACCAATCCAAGCACAGAGTCTCGTATCAAGAGTAATATTCGGGTCGGGCTTTGCTCGTTTGTAAAACCACGCAGCTCTCACGCCCTGAACACCGGCAAATCTACGAGCCTAGCCTACGCTACTATCCGCTCAGTGCTGGTCAACGCACTGTACTGGGACGACCATCGCATCGTCCGTTCGTCCGGGACAGCGGCTGAAATTTGAGCCAGTGCCAGTTGCACAGTCGATCGACGTCTAGTCTCTGTTGCGACAGAGCGCGGGGGAGGTTGGCCCGGCAGATCAGAGCGCACAGCCACAGGAACTGTAAGAGGAGCGGTACCTGCGTGTTGGGCTCGTTCAAGTGCTGCACGAGCATCGTGTCTCGGAGCAGTGTTGTTGATTGGTTTGTGTGCTGGGCAGAAAAGGCCAGCGCCGGCGGTTGTTGCCAGCGGCGGTGTGATCAGTGACGGAGACGACATCATCATGAGTGAGGAGCAAGGCCCCAAGTACCTGGTCAAGTGCTTTGTGTCCGTGCTGGGTCTGAGTGGTCGACAAGGCAGTGTGGGTGTCGGCAAGTCATGTTTGTGCTCACGTTTTTGCCAACCCGATGCCGATCAGTTCGATCGCTTGGGATCGGACCACAGCTCCGTCCTCAGCTCATCGCTATTTCGCCAGCCAGAGGTGAATGGAGAGCACTTTCTGTTCTTCGGCCGTGTCTCAATGGCCTATCCGAACGCTGAGACGGAGCTTCGGGTGAATGTTGTAGAGCACACGACATTCATTGATGAGTCAAGTATGGCTCCGTTCCGAAACAGCAAACACTATGCTCAGAGGGCTTTGGTGGAGAAAATCAAATCACCGGGAAGAGTCCAGTACCACAATAAGTCGCTGATTGGAGCTTCTGCTAACCAGGACAAGCAGATAAAGTTCCCTGAAGACTTTCACAAGCGCGGCCTAGATGGATACATATTTGTTATGGATCCCACCGCACAGGCTGATCATCGGCAGGCTCAGCTGGACCTTCTTGTGGAGTGTGTGAAGAAGGTGCCGAAACGCAAACCGTTCACTGTGGTCTTATCAAAGTGCGATGCGCTACCGCAGGCTATTCAGGAGCGCCTCGGCGAAGGCTTCAGTCTGGTGCGCTTCTTCAGCAATGCGGACAGTGGCGCCAGCAAAGGTGTCAAGCAGAAGTACGGTGCGGCAATCAACGACATTGCCGTGTTCTTCTCTTCGTCGCGCTTCAAGATCTGCATCGACCCTGCATTCTGCTACATTGCCCACATTGCACAAGGTCTAGGCGGTGCACCCACTCCCCCGATCAGTTTCCGCCAAGCGTACGCTCTGCGCATGCAGCACACAAACCTGCTGTGCTCGACTGCGCTGAGCCTTCTGCGTCAGAAGGACGTGATGGCGCCGAGCGACACGTGGAGTGTTAAGCAGCCGCAGCTGCTGATGCGCTCGGCCTTCAAGACTCTGCTCTTCGAGTGCGGAATGGCCGACTGCACAGAAGTGTTTCAGATGCGCGTTGCAGAGCTGCGCCTGCAGCAGAATGCAGTCCAGTACGGCACTCTGGCCAAGCAGAGCACCGCGCCACCCGGTGCCGAGGTGATTACTGACATACCGGAGGTGAGGCGGGCACTGTGTGAACATCAGGACCTGCGCATCTACACACACAAGTAAGTCGGATGCATAGCGGTACTTGTACATGATGCAGGGGTGTTCCCGGGCAGTGGGGAGGGGTGCGGGACAGGAAAATAAATTCGTATTTTTCGGCCAGCAGGGCACAGTCTAGCGACTGGGACTGAGCCATACAACCGGTAAGTCAAACGCAAGATAACACGTCGAAACTCATCAGACACAATCTTCCTCAGCCTACTTCATGTCACACTGTGTACTAGTCTGAACTGTACCGGTGAAGACTGGTAGTTCCCGTACTTTGTAAATGAGTATGATAGTCAAGTGCATACGCAAGTTGCCATGGTGTAGCCGTTGCTACAGCCCATACGCATAACAATACTACAAGATGTATTAGCATATATTTTTGGCATACAGTTGTTACTGGTTAGGCGTTCATGCATGTGTGCTTGTATGGCTAACGTTATGCACAAGTTGAAGTTCATCATGACCATGATGACTGTTACATGAAAGCTATGCTCCGGTATGTTTGTGCCGCAGGCCGGACGAGCTGAAAGTGGCGATGAAGCGCAACGGCATCAACGTTGCACGGATCGGAGACGCGTAAGGGAGTGCTAAATGCCGTTACCGTGCTGTACTGCCACTGTACCATAGCATGCTTTAGCTACTCAGGGACTATGCATACACGATGGGACTATGCATAAACGATGCCTACCCTATGTACAGTAGTGCCGGGTAGCGCCGGAGAACGGCCAGGCTAGAATTTCATCAAGCACAGCATACCAATGTATACACGGTGACTCAACTGTGAATATAATGTAATACATGAAAATAGGAACGGCCTAGGCTAGGAGGCTGACCTCTCAGTTCTTCGGCGGCTGACAGTACTGTACTGCCGTAGTATGCTGGTTACTACTTGTAGTAGCTTCAGCTCAGCACTGGGGCTTTGTTTGTAGTTCAACTAGCAAGTACTAGTACACCAAACATGACTGGGCTGAGTACATGTATACTTGTACCTGTAGTGCTGTGGGGATTGCAGGCTTGCCATACTGCATGCACTCCGGGGTCCCATACCAGGACAGAATATCACTGGGAGTTTGATTGTCACTCACTGGTAGTTTGACTGCTATCTTTGAAGGCGGGGGACTGCTTGTTCAATGCCAGGTGCCTTTCAAAACCAAACATGCAACGGGGGTTGCTTACTCAGTAGTTTACCTGCTTACAAGTATTGGGTACAGTCAGACCTCGCATAACCGCACACATCCGTTTTCCACGAAAATATCCGAATAGGCGAGGGAACCAGAAAATCGAACACACACCCTGTATGTATGCATGGCATATGCTGTAAATCGGTAACCAGTGATTTTCTTCCGGATGGCGAGGGATCCCGATAAAAGAGGACCGGATAAGCGAGGTCTGACTGTATTTGTGATGCCCTAGTGGTGATGCCCCTGTGGTGATGTCCCAGTGGTGGTGATGTCCCTGTGATAATGCGCCCCTGTGAGGATGCCCCCCCCCCTCCCCCCCCCTCCCCCCCCCCCCCCCCCCGGGTAGGCCGACTGGTTCATAGCATGCCCAGAAATGTAATTCTGCTGCCAATGTTGTCATCCAGTAGAGTGATACTGCTGTAGGTTGACATCAGGCATGTAAAGTCAGTCATGCATAGCCAAGCGGCATGTATACTCAGGCATGTATAGTGCCCAGATATCGGCCCGGGCTATGCTCTTTTATAAATGCTGCTCCATGACCCTCTCTGTCGCCCAGGCTAAAATAGTTACTCGTGCCACTATCCGTCAAATGCTCTCATGTTGCTTTCTGCTCCTGTGCAGGCTTGCCGGCAAGCCACGTCTTATTCGATTATCACCTGCTGACGGCCAGGTTGCAAATGGTAGTCCTGGAGTGGAGAGACCTAGGGCAGCTTCCACGAGCTCACCGATGACGCCCAGACCCGTGTCTCCACACGCCAATCCTCCACACTTGAACGGTTTAGTAGCCGCTGTCAATGACGATGACGATGAAGATCCTGCCCCGCCGCCAGTCCCGGTCAAGTGCTATAGCGGCAATGATGCCCTGGAGATGCCGGCGCCGGCAGCAGAGAAAGCTCTAGGCACCCCGGTTATACCAGCGGCAAGAGCTGCAGCTAATGCAGCTGCCGAGAATGAAAACGCGTACGACTGCATAGCCGACATCTGTACTCCAAGCACCTCGATTTCTGCAGCAACACCGCCACCACATCTGAACGAGCCTGAGTCGATTTCGCCGTACGCCACCGGCAATGCCACCGCAATGCCACAAATCACTGTAAAACTGCAGGCCGCCAGTGCAAAGTCCAAGTCAGAGCCTAGCGCAGCTAATGACGTCTGGGAAGCAGTTCCCATAGCCCAGTTGAAAATTGCACGAGAGCGTGCACCACAACCACCGCCAGGCGATAGGGCAACATCACCGGCCAAGTCACCACAGAAGTATCGCGTCGAGCAGCGTCCAGCAATCTATGAGGAAATGCCGGACCCAGGTCTTAAGTCACCTGTCAAATCACCCGTCAGGTCGCCCCTAGATCCACTGCCAACTTCCAGCAGATTGAACGAACCCACTAACCTACTTCGAAGTGGGTCCGTGGATAGTCGCTCCTCATCGGTAGCTAGCGACTACGATGATATTGTGATCAAGAAACCTTATCTTTCATCTCAGCCTGCCCGTGCTGCCTCGCTAGATAGCAGCAGTGTGCCTTCATCCCTGTCCAGTTACAGCGCTGAACCCCTGTATGATGATGTGGCGCAGACAGAGGCTAACTCCGCTTATCCCCCCACATCAGCAGCAGTGGTATTGTCTCCACCATCTAGTGGCAACGATGTGCTCTATGACACCGTTCTCAAGGAGAAAAATGCTGTGGAAGAGCCAGTGGACCCACAGCCAGATGCTGATTTGCCTCCACCAGTGGAGGACCTACCACCCCCACCACCAGCAGAAGAACTTGACGGTGATCTTCCTCCGCCACCACCTGAGCTATTTGATGAGAATGCAGATGATGGTGTTGATTGTGATCCGCCACCACCAGACGTAGCATTTCCACCCCCTCCCAACACGGCACCAACCCCTCCACCACCATCATCATCGTATACGAGAGAGGGGTATTGCGAACCCCTGGAGTTTGGTGTTTTACAGTCAAATTCAACGGCCAGCAATGCACCTGCGCCTGACAAGGCAATAGGAACTTCGGTGTTGCCACCCGAGGCGTATGAAGATGTTTCTATGCACTCCATGCTGGCCCTCTCACCCAGCGGCGAACACGCCGTGGTGCGCCGGCCGTCCGTATTACAACAGAATCATCAGAATGTCCAGTCTTCCCAAAGCTCGCTGCCTCCTGCTAGCGGTACCGCTGCCATCTCTGATGACCGGGGCAGAACGGACTCCTACAGTGACGTGGACAGTCTGCGACCCACAGCCATGTTTGCTGCCAGGCTGGCCCGGGAATCGGCAAAAGACAAGGACAGGCCGAAACCTGAGCATGGACACTACGACCAGCCACTAGACTTTCCATCCATCACACAAAGTCAGCCCCAACCTACGATTGCATCGGAATTATCCTCATCAGCAGTCAGTGCAACCCGACCAGGATACGAGGATCCCGTGGATCTCAGTGCACATTTTCAAGCACGGCGGAAAGACTCTGCACAGCGAAATGAAGATGCCTACGAAGAGCCGGTTGAGTTTCAAATGGGTACACAACTGCCTGCGTCTACTACTGCAAGCTCAGGACAGGAGCAGCAACCACCTCTCTACTCAGACGCAAATGCCGTACGTCCGACCGAAATCTTCGCTATGAAGCTGGCACAAGAAGCCAAGAATTCCCCGCCGGTCGCCCCACTGTCTCGAACTGGCTACGAACAACCATTGTCCTACGGTAGTGGAGAGACCGGTAGTGATGGTGCTGCCGCTACTTCGTTCTATGATGGAATTCTAGAGGATTCAGCAGGTGGAAATCAAACCGGCAGAAGCAGCATTGATGATGACGGTGGCAATGTGCGTAATGAGAAAATGAAGAAGAACAGACTGGACTCCACGTCAAGTCTTTCCATTGATGTAGCCAACTTAGAGGCACTGTTGGAGAACCCGGATTTGTTCGGAGCGCTTTTGACCAAGTCGGCCAGCGTGCCCGAGCAAGACACACCGTATGACTCTCTTCAGCTGAGTGATCCGCAGGGCCCACCCGATGAGCGTGCACCCATCCCTCCACCGACAGTCTCAGGTCGGCAACGACCGTTTCACCTGATGTCTAAATCGGTTCACACAGACGGCGCTCGTCCGCCTACCCTGGCACGTACTTCAGCCACTCTTCCTCCGGGTTCGGAGCTCTCCAACCCCGACGCCGCCAGTGGGGCTAAGTCATCGCCGTCCAAATCAGGGAGGCCCGCAACCAAGCCCAGGGGTGCTAAGACAAACACAAACGGAAAAAACGCATCCTTGCCAGTAAACAATGCTGCTGCGAGTAACAGTGATGCCGGCCAATCAGCAAAAAACAAGAAGTTTGCTGTGACCGTAAGCAATGACACCGGATCACCATCACCGGTCACGAGGAAAGGAAAGTCTGCAGAGCAGGCCTCCGCGCCCATACTGGCCGATGGAAACAGCTTCAAACCGTCGGCATCCGCTGGCAACGGCGCTGCTGCCAGCACGTCAGGCTCAAGTTGGTGGGAGACACCGCCGTCGTCACCGGCAACTGGTCAGCGTGGTGTTGACAGTGCATATTCTCATGTCACCACGACAACCAGTTCTACTGCTGCTGCTGCTGCTGCTGCTGCTGGCACATCAGCGGGAACAGATAGCGGCCAAGCATCAGCCCGGAAACCCTTGACACGAGATTCATCGTACGAGCGCCTGTCCCTCAGTGGCCCACGTCAGCCTCCTCCGGTCTCGGGAACTCGACCTCCACAGCCCATGGGTGGAAGCTTGGACACAGTAACTGACATGCCCGTGTCTGCTGGAAGACCGCTTGCCATACGTAAACGTACAGGTACGGGATTATTACTGTATTTTATAGGGATGTAAGGAATATTCCATTATTCGAATTTATTCGATCAATCCGTGCCTCAAGATTACATCATGTATTGGAATTTCAAACTCGAAGGTTCCAACTTCCTATACTGCTAGACCTGGTGAAGAACATACTCGAAGGTTCCTATACTGCTAGACCTGGTGGACATGCTCGGAGAGCGAAAAAAAGTTTGCATGCTGCGCTGTCAACACCTCGTAGTCACCATCCTCGGGGTCTCCTCGGGGTCTTGAGTTCTTCATAACGGTATTAGTAGAAATGGATAATTCAAGTTGCTGAATGATTGTGTGATTGTCTTGTTTGCTTTTGCTCAGCCTCCACCAGTCAGAAGTCACTGACCTCGGCTCCAACAAACTAGTCAAGTCACAAGCCGTAGTGGATTTGAGTGCGACATACAGTACTAGTAACCCGCATGATGCACACTGTCCACTGTTCAAGCCCTGAAGTGTGTGAAGTGGTAAAGCGGGTGCTGCCAATGTGTTACCTATGCCGGTTTCTTGAAAGAAAGTATCTTCCAGCCTACTCTTCCGTTTATAATTATAGCACAGTTGATAGTACACATTTGATTATGCTACCACTCATCTTCAGCACAATACAGCCAGATTTTCCCGTATCCTGTAGGCGACTGATTTTGATTTTTTTTTAACAATGTTTGTTTGCACGAGAGGATAATGAGAGATAAGTGATGCACGGGAAGATGGGCGCTTGAGCAATTTTCTACATGAAGACTGTGGCATACCCACCCTGCTGCTGCATTGCAGCAATAATGTGCTGCTATTGATAGCTATTGATAACTGTCTTTAGATAAAGATAGGACTATAGTCACAAGATCTATACAAATCTTTTAAAGTATTTTCTGATCGTACAACAGTAATTCTTCTCAGATGTCTAGTGACAATTTGTGAATAATTGCATTGCCATTTGATTGCTAAATTTGCCAGTGAAATATTATACTGTGTAATAGGTGGAGTTTTAAAGTGCTTTCCGTAGAATATCACTCAGTTCGTCAGTGGTGAGAAGCAATGAGTTGCCCTTCATGCTGGACGACTTGGCTGCTTTTTCAACGACTGTCGGGATATCCTCTTCCTTGAGGCCGTACGTCGATAGCTTGGGCACATCTAGCTCGGTGCAAAGATCAATGATCCACTTTACACCATCCTCGCATGTTGCATTGGAACGCTCTGTGATGATGCGTGCCACTTCATCGTACCGCTGTGCAAGGATATAATTTAAGTTAAACAGCCATCAACAATCACCTCTATAGTAAAGCTCAAAAGTGTGCATACACACTGTAGCATTGCATGCAGAAGCCAGTTTCTTTGCAACGTTATTGCTCAAAATCCATGTCAAAGAGAGAGAGAGAGAGAGAGAGAGAGAGAGAGAGAGAGAGAGAGAGAGAGAGAGAGAGAGAGAGAGAGAGAGAGAGAGAGAGAGAGAGAGAGAGAGAGAGAGAGAGAGAGAGAGAGAGAGAGAGAGAGAGAGAGAGGAGAGAGAGAGAGAGAGAGAGAGAGAGAGAGAGAGAGAGAGAGAGAGAGAGAGAGAGAGAGAGAGAGAGAGAGAGAGAGAGAGAGAGAGAGAGAGAGAGAGAGAGAGAGAGAGAGAGAGAGAGAGAGAGAGAGAGATAGCGTATCAAGCACATGCCGATGAAGCATGAGTCTAGAGTTATCAATATCGTCTTGCGAGAACCTGTTGACAAATCAACATTTCCACTCCCATTACATCAGTCCCATGCTTATCAATACTGCTGTGTCTACACTGTGCACTATTACAAGTATTATGACATAATTATGACAATGTTACTAATGTACATTGTAAACTGCTGGGTTCAAACTTCAAACTACCATCAAACCATATGACTGTGTGAGTCTTCCCACACAGGTGCTGGGCTCAGACTACTTACCGCCAGGAGAGGGCTGCCAGGAGCTCGTTTCTTGAGAGCGTCGGCGTTGACGGCGATCACGTGCGGCAGAAGCACGGCGCAAATCGCACCGTGAGGTGCACCGGGACACCAACCTCCCAGTACGCCTAGTGTTTGTGTGCACCGTGACACACGCAGACGCAAACGACAGGTATGCATGGGTTTGCACAAGTGAGCAATCAAGGAAAGAGTACACATGTACATGGGCTAGGCAAGCCGCGCATTGGGCATTTGATCACAAGGAAGCATACAATGCACAGAGCAAAGAAAAATCTGTAACGTATTCTGGCCATAAAGGCACGCATGCCTGCATTTCTGGCACGACATACAATAACCACACAGTCATGGATAATGATTACTGAGGCCCAGCCAGTGCAACTACAAGTGAAAAATGGAACTGGCCTGACAGCCAACGAATCCTCAGACATTCCAAGACAGTACATTGCACTGTTACCTGATCGTTGATTTTAGCCACTTGATGGTTCTTTATCACTAAATTAATCATGTACTAATAATCTACATGGAGACAATCATAGCTCTTTAATCACGTACTGTTTTGTAATACTTCAAAGCACAGTCCACACGGTACGTATTTGTAAATGCATGACTGTTGCTCTTGATCAGCTCATGGTCTCACCTGCAAATCCGTGTACAGCTCCGAGCTTAGCATTGGCCAGTGCCAGTCCACCAAACAGGCTGCACAGCGCCATGCCCTCCCTGGCAGTGATATCGTCACCCTGCCGTACAGCACGCAGCAAACTCTTGGCGCCGTGGCGCAGGCCCTCCTTTGCAATGGCGTCGGTTAGTGGATTGGCCAGGCAGGAGATGAATGGTTCCAGGCACTGCAGCAAGACAAGCAAAGTCATTCGTGGCCTTTCTCCTCGGATACAATTTTCAAGCATGATCACCTCAGCCGCCTGTAACTGCATTATACAGCAGTACTGGCATGCAGAGCCCTTGCTGTGTGATCAGTCAGTGAGATCAGTCCTCAAGAGTACAGGATAGTGTGTATGACCAGCATACCAACATAGCCAGTACATCGCACTGTCACGGAGTGTGAGCTAAATACTGGGCTGCTTTCCAGATCGCTGCAGAAATATCCGGATAGGCGAGGGAACCGGATAATCGAACACACATACGTCTGACTGTACTTGAGTACACCAAGTACACAACCATGTGTTCTGCTCTACGTCATCAGCACTGCTGGCTGACGGTGTTGCCCAATTACCTGTGTGAACGCGTCCAGACCCGTGCTAGCCGTGGCAGCAGGTGGCAGGGACAGGGCAAGAGTCGGGTCTACCAGCGCCACATTGGGCAGCATCGTGGCAGCACGGATGCTGGCTTTGACGCGGTGCTCAGGCGAACACAGCACACCATTGCGAGTCACCTCCGCACCCGTTCCTAAAGAAATCAAATAGGTCACAGATGGGTGGTATGTCAGAGAAGTTCATTGAAGAGCATAGTACTGTTGGGAGCTGAAGAATGGCCAGCGCTAGAATGTCATCAAGCATACACAACTGTGCACAGACTGCAATGCATGAAAAATAGGAACGGTCTAGGCTAGGAGGCTAACCCCCCCCCCCCAGTTCTTCGGCGGCCGATAGTACTGTAGGCCAAAGGGTGAGATAAGTGGAATTACACATTTTTCCAATCTCCAACATGATAAAATTAATAGTACTTTACAGACATGTGCACCCACTTGCCTGCTGTTGTTGGCACGGCAACAAACGGTGCTGACGGCTTTGTAATCTTCTGACCCTTGCCAACCACTTCCATGTAATCCAGTGGCTCACCACCGTTGGTAATTAGAGCAGCGATCACTTTCCCAACATCCAGCACCGACCCTCCGCCAATAGCTATGACACCATTACAGTCTTTCGTTACTGCTTGCTCCGTTCCGGCTGTGGCCACGTCCACGGTCGGCTCACCGTGCACTTCAAACACCTCGTGGGCTACACGAGAAAAAGCAGCAAGAACATACATAGTAAGTCATACATACATGAAAAATCACTTTTCGTTTGATGATCGATTCAATACACAACAACTGTGTTTGTCCTTCTGTTTGTACATACATGAATACCATGACCAGACGGGGACCTGTACCTCGGTTCTACACTCACTCGTGTAACTCCAATACTTAACCTCGGAGCGTATTTTCGGTGCTGGGCTAATTAATATTTTAATTTATCCATCACAGAGTTGCGACACAGCTTCCAATCTCTCTTGTGTTTTTATCCATCAATTATTTGAGGAAATACGGTATTCTTGCTGTGGGAATTCCATTTGATTGAAGTGGATCGTAAAGTATAACGCGGAACACTGGTTTTATTCCCAAGCTAATAATAACGCCATGGTGCAGCACGCACATCCCTAAATCCATTATTGTTTCTGATCACTGCACCATATCCACTAGTATTCAGACATGTGTAGAGTGGGGCTGGTGGATGACAATGCCCATTCATCATAACTGTACAGAACATGACTGCATTCAATGATTCCCGGTGATGAATGCCACAGGCACAGGGAAACGTTTGAATCGTATCTGTGACTGTGTGAGCAGGTATTGAGATCCACATAGTGCCCTGTGACTGCGGATCAGTGCACTCATAGTACTAACGAACTCTTCAATACAATGTACTGTAGTCTCATGTCATCAAGTAATCATTAGTACATCTCGTTCTGCTCCGATCTTTTCGCTCACCTGGCAATAATTTCAAAACTCCCATGTAACGCTTGGCAGTTCCTGTGACCACGATAGGTCTCGTTATACCCAGCGAATCCACTATGGATCTTAGCTCCTTCTCGGCTGTGTTGCTACCGAACACGATGCGAGTAGCTGTTGCGAATTCGAAGCGAGAAGTGGCCGCCATAGTTATTCACTCCGCAAAGGGCTGTAGACTGTGTAGTGTAGAGTGTAGGAGCTGCTACCGGTGTGCACTATTCACAATTCTCAAAGCACGCTCTACCTCAATCATTATCGAAAAGGTATGATTATGATAAGGCCCATTTACTGATTTAGCGGGAATCGGACTGGCTTGCTTCGCCGGACTCCGGTGAGAGTGAGCAGACCCTGTCATCATCATACTTCATAGTCATCCATTTTTACATGGACAGTTCGCAGATCTTTACGTGTTGTTGTCTTTGTGGAGCTCTCTCTCGCCGTCTCGGATCCAGTCTCGACATGATCTGATAGTGATAGCCTCCGTTGATGACGTACCAATCAGCTGATCGTCCTTCTCGCACGTGATGAAGAGTTTGAAGACTGCTGCAAGTGTACACGTGATCCGATGGGAACTTTTTTCTAGAACTTTTTGTTGTTTTCTGGAAATATTTGGATCATGTTGGTTTCTTCTACGAAACTTTGCGAAGAGACAAGTCTCTTCGTTGCGAGTCTAACAGGTTCTAGACTGCCGGCTAAGCTGAGGATAAAGGCCAGCGACCAGCCATGGCGAGGCCAGAACGGTTCATCCGAAGTGAGACTTGCTTTCAGAGCAGAAGGCGTGGATTTGCCCCTTCAGTTAGTTAGCCCGCCGCGAGACTCGTCGAACGGAGCAGAAGGTGCTTGGACATTTGCTGCTAGTGGAATCAAGATACGGTATACCGGTAGAGAGGAAGCAGACGGGGACTGATTTGTGAAAGTTGTCTTGAAGACCAAGAGAGTGCAAGCTAGTTTCTAGATTTTGTCAGTGGACTCCTGTGCTGTGAGAGCTACTCTGTACCGTGGTGAAAATGAAGGCCAACAGCAAGACTGCGATTGGAATCGACCTGGGCACGACTTACTCGTGCGTTGGTGTCTATCAGCACGGCAAGGTGGAGATCCTGGCCAACAGCCAGGGCAATCGCACCACACCCAGCTATGTTGCCTTCTCGGATACGGAACGTTTGATAGGCGATGCAGCAAAGGATCAAGTGGCGCGCAATCCCAAGAACACGATATTTGATGCCAAACGATTGATTGGTCGTCAGTTCACCGATACTGCAGTTCAGAAGGACATGAAGCATTGGCCATTCCAAGTGATCAACGTGAACGGCCAGCCAAAACTGCAAGTTGAATATCAGGGAGAGAACAAAGTGCTGTCACCGGAGGAAGTGAGCTCTATGGTGCTGAGTAAAATGAAGGAGACTGCGGAGGCATATCTTGGAACTGGTGTGACTGATGCAGTGGTCACGGTGCCAGCGTACTTCAACGACTCGCAACGCCAGGCAACAAAAGATGCTGGTCGCATCGCTGGACTGAATGTCCTTCGCATCATCAATGAGCCGACAGCTGCAGCATTGGCATACGGATTGGACAAGCGTATGTCTTCTGAACAGAACGTGCTGGTGTATGACCTTGGCGGTGGCACGTTTGATGTCTCCATCCTATCCATTGACAATGGCTTATTTGCTGTAAAGTCAACTGCCGGTGACACACACTTGGGTGGCGAGGACTTTGACAACAGACTGGTGGAGCACTTTGTTGCTGAGTTCAAGCGCAAGCACAAGCAAGACTTGTCTGGCGATGCACGTGCCCTGCGCCGACTGAGGACAGCATGCGAGCGAGCCAAGCGAACTCTGTCGAGCAGCACCGATGCCAGTGTGGAAATTGATTCTCTGTATCGTGGCATTGACTTCTACAGCAAGATCACTCGTGCAAGATTCGAGGAGCTGTGTTCTGACTTGTTCCGCTCAACCCTGGAACCAGTAGAGAGAGCACTGAACGATGCCAAGATGGGAAAGTCTGAGATCCACGAAGTCGTGCTGGTTGGTGGATCAACGCGTATTCCCAAGATCCAGAAACTGCTTCAGGACTACTTCAATGGCAAGGAGCTGAACAAGGGAATCAACCCAGATGAAGCTGTTGCTTATGGTGCTGCTGTTCAAGCGGCTATCCTGTCTGGGGTGAAGGATGAGCGAGTGGATTCAGTGGTCCTCCTCGATGTTGCACCGCTATCGCTAGGAATCGAGACAGCCGGAGGCGTGATGACAACACTCATCAAACGCAACACGACAATCCCAACTCGTGCTGGCGAGACTTTCACTACGTATTCCGACAATCAGCCAGGTGTCACTGTGCAGGTGTACGAGGGTGAGCGAGCCATGACCAAGGACAACCACTTGCTGGGTCGCTTTGAGCTGAGCGGCATGCCACCTGCACCTCGTGGAGTACCAAAGATCGACGTTAGCTTTGACATTGATGCCAACGGTATTCTACACGTCACAGCAAAAGATCAGAGCAGCGGTCGCTCCAGTGACATTCGGATCACAAACGAGAAGGGCCGGTTGAGCAAGGCTGATATTGAACGAATGGTAGACGAGGCTGAACAGTTCAAGCAAGCTGACGAAGATCAGAGAGAGCGAATTGCCTCTCGGAACCAACTGGAGAGCTATGCGTTCAATGTCCGCTCAGCGGTAACAGACGGTGCTTCAAAGCTGAACACTGATGAAGTTGAGAAGGTGAAGAGTGCAACTCAAGACGTTCTTGACTGGCTTGACAAGAATCAGCTTGCTGCAAAAGAGGAGCTTGAGCATCGCTTGAGCGACTTGCAGCAGCTGTGCTCACCCATCATGGCCAAACTGCACGGTGGCAACAGTGGCAATGGATGCTCAGCAGGAGGGTCTTGCAATGGCCCGAAAGTGGAAGAAGTTGACTGACCCCATGCACCACACAGTTGGAATTGAACAATTTGTAGAACTCAGCACTCTTCCCTTGATTGTTGCTGGAAATGTTTTTGAGCTAGTGCTGATGACAGACATGCCGTGCAAAGCAGATCTTTTTTAAGCTTGTTTGAACTTTGAAGTGATTTCCTTTTCTTTGTGATCATAGTTCTAAGTTTTCAGCTTGGAAAAAGCGTTGCATCTCAACGCATTACTTGCCATGTTTCGTTTCAAAGCTTGACTCCTACAGTTATGAATTAATTTGTTTAAAACTAAGTATACCTATACCTACGGTGTGCTTTTCTTGATCCGACCAAGTACAGTAATCATGATTGTATTTTCTGTCTCATTTTTCTCCCCACACTTTATGAATATCAATAAAACTGTGAAAGGTACCATGGACATTTTTTACCCATGACCCCTTCGTTGTTTGAAATTGCTGGTGTGAGTAATGGCTAGCGTACCGAGGGTAGCAATGTTCGGCTTTAGAGCGCACAGAGAAGGAGAGTTAGTTTGTTGTATCACACGTTATGAAAAGAAGAAGGACAACATGTTACGAGTTATGACTAACTGTCCACCAACGTAACCAGAAGTTATACAGTCATGTTTCAATTGCTGAAACAGATTGCTGTGTCATGATTGGCGACTGTTCACGAAACATGTGCAGGTGTTAAATGTTAGAGACGATACGATACTTTAGTTGCGATAATGACACTCCCTGCCTTTTCCTCAGTGACATTGTTTGATTTTTTTATTTGCTTGAAAAGCACATGACCATCAGGAGAGCTGGCAAAGCCAAAAACATGCATTGCAGTGAAATGTTGTGCCTACTACTGTCTACTGATCAAGCCTACAAGTGGCCGCATGATTTGCCTCCAAGAGGAGGGGGGGGGGGGGGGACTTCGAGCAGGAAATGCAGAACGTGAGTATGTATGGGAGAGAACACGGGTGTTTCGCAGTGGCCACTCGTCAAGATGGCGGCAAATCCGAGAGTACAAAAATTTCGACTCTGCCTATGTGCGTGGCGGATGCGAATCTCGCACGTGCATGCAAAATCTTGCCTTCTGCAGAGCTGGGTAAAGCAAGTGTGTAGCCAGTGTAGGAACGACGACCTTTTCCGAGAGAGAATGTGGCTCTTTTCATCCCAACATTTTACTCGCCACGCTCTCCCTCCCAGCTTATTGATACGAGTATGTGCTACCGAGTAGAAGTCTCCATCTTCAGAGTAGGCCAGGCAGAATCGCAAGGTTGAAATACTTGCTCACTTGGTTTTTTTGGTCCTTTGAGGTGTTGATGTGATCGTTGTGTAGAACTCGAAGTGACAAACTTGAGACCCCCGCGCCACAAAAAACTAAGGCGCGCCACAAAGTTTCGTTTGGCTGTTCAATGAAAGGACGTATGGAAGCAGGGATAAAAACTATCGTGGCTGCCGGCAAAACTCCTAGTAATGTAATAAACGGGGGTGTGACTTTGGTAATTCCAAGGAGAATGTACGCACGGCCATTCCACAACGAAGACGAACTACGAGCTCAAAAACACTCCGATTTTCAAACAAACGACGCAGGCCGGAACGAAGACATGGCCACAGTGTTCCCGTGTGGCCTTCAAAACACCTAATTTTACTTCGATAGCGGCTGGTTCAGGGCAAATTCAGGCCCAATTCGACAGCGTCGTACCGCTCAGATTCGCCCAAAACACGAGGAAATGTACGGTAGATCCAAATGCGTACGCATTTTGCGTACGGGAACGACTGGCCAGAGTTCATGCACTGCAAACACCCGTGAGAACGCTTCATCACACGTAGTCTACTCTACACACAACACGACTGTTATCATGGTTATGTCTAGACTGTAGCCGGCTGATATCATGCCGCTTGCCTGCATTTTACAGGACATGTCGTCGTCGAGGTCGATACAGTCGCGTCGGTGCAGTCAGTACTGACACAGTGACCATGGTGACAGGACCTACGAGTAGTACTCTACGACTACGGGGCTCGAGGGTAGATCTAGCTGCATGCAATGCTATGCAGTGCGTAGCGCTTTATGAACGATCACGTCAGGCACCGGCTGGGCCAGTCTGGCGCCGGTGCATGCAGGTGCTAGCTCCAGCTACTCCATAGCCTGGCATAGGCATAGCGTGTGACTGAAGCAAATGCGGACTGACCTACTAGCCCTGTGCACCGACGGTCCGTGTGCGGAAGCTGTATCCTGTATTTTTTATCAGAAAGAATATTGTCCAGCATTTCAGTTTCTAATCAGTATTGTTTTGTGAAGAAATCTATCATGCTATCATGCATGGCGTAACACTACGATTTAGTGATTGCAGTGTTCACATTGGAGCGCTAGTCACTTTGGAGTTTCACTGGAGTTCCGGCAGTATTGTGTAGCGAGCACTCGGGTGCCACGAATATTATTACTTTTGTCGCCGGTGATGTGACACAGCGTGGAGACAACAACGGCATCGCTATTTCAGGAAGGCACAGGGATGTCGGAACTGGTGCGAAGTAAGTTGCCGCACATTACAGCCATGTTCCTGCCCCTTGCCCCTGCGGCGGCATACGTAGTGCCACACTAGGGACTCCAGTACAGTACATTCATTTTGTAGTGCCAGTGGTGCTTGTTGAGAGTTGCCATTGAGCAATCGGCCTTTCATCGACTGTGCATGTGGAGTAGAAACTGCCAGCATGTAGCATAATAACAGCAGCCCAATAACTCATACATGTACTTACTTTACGCTGAACCGAGTGTATAACTTCACTTTGCACCTGTGCGTTTTTCCGCATCTGAACCCACACGTGTACGTGACTGTACGTGGAGCACCAGTTGAAGTACAGTTATAGGGTATAATACACACGACGTGAAAATGAACGAAAACACGTTTGTGTAAAAGTGGACAAGCTGCCCATCGGATTCACACGGACAACAGACCCTTGCAAATCTCGCATGCGTCTGTGTACTCATGTACCTTGAGTACCATACTCAAGTACTCTCGCTGTTTTTACACGCGCGCAAAGGACGAACGTGGGCCTAGGACCCCCCCCCCCTCCCCCCCCCCCCAGCAAGTTTATCAAGAGGTTGCACGCGCTCAAGTAAAAGAGTACCACACACGTGAGTTTGCGCGTCGTGTGAATCCCCGATAACACCCAGACAAGCACCCAAAGTGACTTTAATAGTCGGCCAGACTACTGGCAAAAGTACTGTTCTTCCTTTTGGAGCAGGAGTGAGGTCATAACACGGGAACACTACATGTTGTACTTCTGTCATGGTGCTGGTAGGGTCAGTGTCTCAGTGTCATTCCCTTTGCACAACTGTGGGTAAAAGTCCACAGGCGTCGTTAGACATGGTGAACATTTTTACCGTTCACACTAAATCCAACGGCAACTCGTACCTGGCACCCAAGATACCGCCGGGTTGGTATCGTTTCAACGATAGAAAGCTCTGTTTGGCTGGAGAATGAAACAGTAAGATTCCAGCTAGGGTGACGTCACAAGTCGATCGTTGTGTCAGAAACCGAAAATGCCTAATCATGTCTTGAAAACACACAAAAAAACCGGTACAGACCGACGGTCGAAGTTAGTGTGAGGCTGCACTGTCCCCCCCCCCCCCCTTGCGCATACCTATGCATCATTGCCAATGACTTTTAAACAAGCTCCTGAAAACTCACTGACTGCGCACTGTACTTCTGCCCTTTCTTCTGGCTGTGATCATCTTTGTACTGCAGTGAACCAAAGTAGCCCCACCAGGGCACTGGATGTTGATTTGTCAGATTTACTTGCTGGTCTGGCTTACTTGAGTGGTGAGTTTGGCAGTTGCATGGTATTTATACAGAAGAGCCAGGGGTACGTTCAGTCTTTGAGCCGGTGCATGACACTGTGGCTTCTAGGCACTTCTACTCAGTTTTCTATTGCCAATGCACTACTGCACAAACGCACATGAACACCCCCCCCCCCCTTGAACCTTGAACCTTGAACCTTGAACTTGCCCATTGTCGAAGGCAATGATAGCGAAAAGGACTAATTCGGCGGCAACCGGCAGAAAGGTTCGTGGCGCTTGAGATTGCAGGGGCGGCGACACGTCTTCCCGCATGAACTACGATATTCTGTCTCGGCGGAGACATCACGAGGCTGAGGACGACGGTGAATAACTTTTCTCCACTCCGAGCGGTTCTGGGCAGTATCGAGCCATTCTCCCCCCCCCCCCCCCCCCCTCCACATACATATACCCATCCATACACATTCCTGTTTCCTGGCCATACATACACTTGTATATGTAGGTGTAGATATCAGTATAGCAAGAGGCTATCTGTCTACCTAGCTATCCACCTAACTGTTACATGGTTCAGGGGCAGCAACAGGTTGTCCCACATACACTCACCACCTTTGTATTTCTAGTAGGATTATCCGGTGAGATTCATAGACATGTGCTGCACGGGCGTGTGTTGCACAGACGTGCACAGGTGGCGCTTTGCGCTTTCTCAATGCTACCGTGTGCTATAATATCTTCATTTGGTTACCAGCAAAAGGCTGTGCATCCATATTTGTGGAATGGACAAATGGCGGCATTGCTTCTGACAGTGGCCATGCAGCCTAGCAAACAACAAACAACCTACTCAAACAGTTGGTGGACTACCCATTGGTTAGCCGCTCTCGTTGTAAAATAGAATCCATTTTTATAGACCAAGAGTGGCGCATATGAATGATAAATATAGAAATTTCACGATACTTTTTTCCAGGTGTTTTGTTGTTCCAAACATCACCAGTGGATTTTATTAAACAACCCGAGGCTACAAGTCCTTGGGTTTCCTGTACAAAGGCCTGACAGGAGTTCTTGTTGATCCACGAACCGTCTTGTCTTGCACTCTGTTCTGTTTCCATAGGCGGCAGAGACTGTGTTGGCTTCTCCATCATCACCATACCCACTGGAATAGGTCTAGAAGAAACTGGAATCGACTCACTGACAAGAATTCTCCAGTACTATACCTGTGTTGCCAGGTAAACGTGTTACCCGCATGGGATGCGGCATGCGGGCACTTTCAGATACCGTATTTCCGGAGCGTATGCCGCACTGGAGTATTAAGCCGCACCCAGATTTTCGTCATAAAATAATGACATCTACTACTACTAATAATAATAATAATAATAATAATAATAATACTCTACCCTATATATGACCATTCATATGGCCATTCATATGACCATTCATTTGACCATTCATTTGACCATTGTAGTATACTGAGCCACATTGACTTTTTGGGGGGTGAATTGTTGGTGTTTAAAGTGCGGCGTATACTCCGGAAAATACGGTACTAGTGTTCTGTCAGTTGGTCACAAGTTGAAATCAAGGTAATCTGTTCTGAAGGGAACATTGCAAGAAGTGGTTGTCTATGAGTTCAGAGCCTACGTTGTAACATGTTATGTGTTCCTGTGTTTTGTGTGTGTGTGTGTGTGTGTGTGTGTGTGTGTGTGTCACTGTGTGTGTGTGTGTGTGTGTGTGTGTGTGTGTGTGTGTGTGTGTGTGTGTGTGTGTGTCACTGTGTGTGTGTGTGTATACCCGTGTGTGTGCTTCCATGTTCCTATTGACAGGGAAGACACTTTGTTCGTGGGCTGTGCTGTGTACATGGACCTCACAGACACAGATGTGGAGTCTAGACTATGTGTTCTCCTTGCCCTGCAGCAGTTCAAAGTAAGAGTGCTTTAATAAGTAAAATAAAGTAAATTATCGTATCCGTTCCCAAAGGGAACTCACGACGGCCGCTAACACCCGGTAAACCCTAGCGGAAGATGCATTAATAGCTGCTTCTATATCGGAGCTGTTTAGAGGAAGTACTTGGATACACCATGCAGGCCTTTGGAGAGCCAACCCAGTGAAATATTTGGTACTTTCACCGTCTTTCTGTGCATGCATATTTGACCCACAGTGATGGCTGTGTAGTGAATTGTGTCAATTTGTGTGGGTGTGTGAAAGAGAAGAAAACGACTTGCTCACGTGGCTAGAAACCATTTATTAGAGTTGCATACTGGACCAGGCTACGCAGTGGAGGGTTCCCCAGCCCTGCAAGCTGCTGACTGTTAAAAACTCTCCTACTCACAAGCTTCCCATATCACGTGTAGTTTTACTGACTTTGCAGCACTACTAACATCAACTATAGATGGGTGTGACGATGGGTGGTCAAAGGTGTGTGCGCTTCGGTATGACTGTGTGTGTGTGTGCGTGCATGCATGCGTGCGTGCGTGCGTGTCCCATATAGTGCAGTGGTACTTCGAAGTATGTGCAGCGATTTCCAATCAGTGAGAGGTTGCGGGTTCGATTCCCGACGATTATGGTCGCACACGTCTTTCTTCTCTTTCTCAGACTCCTCCTGACTTTTCTTTCTTTCTCCTGGGTGGTTACCAACAGCGCATGCCGGAGTATGTGGTGTGATGCGTGTGCGTGAAAAAATGAAAAGGCCAAAAATAGGCCCATGATTCACTGGCCAGAAAAGGCCACTTCATAGCTGTGTGGTGTAGACCAGGCTGAATAGTGGTGGTCAATTCTTCAGTCTTGCAAGCTGTTGAATGGTGCAATCCCAGCACAAGCTGCTACGGCTTCTGCTGTAGCATCGCTATCATCGCCTCCGGCGATGGGCGTCAAAAGGTCCGAAAATGTGTGTGTTCTTGTTTGCCACAGAAATGGTATGATCAGTCGGTCGGCAGTGGCTTGAGCTTCTATTTCTTCACCGCAGTACAACTAGCTGAAGGAAAGGCAAATGCAATCTCTGGTCTCTTACGGAGCTGTGTTGGACAAGTGAGTGCAATACTTGTACACAAATATAATCTGTGTTTAGTTAACACCACATTGAACAAAGTACCATGGATTACTTAATGGTCAAGCGCTCTTTTGCCACCTCCCTATCCACCCCAAATACTCAGTAACACGCCGAAGTTGTGATCATATTTCTGACCGTATGCACTGACCGTTTTACTACCATGTAATTTCTAGCACAACCGTACCGTACCGTAGATGGTTGTGCGCTTCGCGATTGTTTTAGCATTATCTTGTGACTGCTCTTTTCATTTATAGTTGCATTTCAGTTTTTGTAGAAGTAGATCATAAAATACGATGTGGTAGTCTGAGCGTGAGTGGAGCAGTATTGATAGATTATAGAACACGCGGCCCTAGCTGACTCAGAGACAGCTCAAATCCTCCACGTGTATGAGTGCCTGAGAAAGTGTGTGTGTGTGTGTGTGTGTGTGTGTGTGTGTGTGTGTGTGTGTGTGTGTGTGTGTGTGCGTGTGTGTGTGTTCGTGCATGTGTATATGTCCAGCACTAGTTGCTATGCCTAACATAGCTGTTCGCTATCATTGCTTCTGCGATGGGCAGGTCTGAGGTCTGAGGTGTATGTGTGTGTGTGTGTGTGTGTGTGTGTGTGTGTGTGTGTGTGTGTGTGTGTGTCCCTTACGGTGCAGTGGTATGTGCAGTCGATTTCCAATCGAGAGGTTGCGGGTTCAATTCCCGACGATTATGGTCGCACACGTCTTTCTTCTCTTTCTCATTCTCCTAGCTCTTCTTTCATTCTCCTGGGTGGTTACCAACAGCCAGTGTATGCCAGAGTATGTGGTGTGGCGTGTGTGTGTAAAAAAAGAAAAAGAAAAAAGAAAAGAATAAAAAATGGAAAAAATGAAAAATAGGGATTCACTGGCCAGAAAAAGCCACTTCAATCAGCTGTGTGGTGGATACCAGGCTAAAATTAGTGGCGGTCAATTCATCAGCCTTGCAAGCTCTTGAATAGTGTAATCCCAGCACAAGTTGCTATGTCTAACATAGCTGTTCGCTATCATCGCTTCTGCGGTGGGCAGGTCTGAGGTCTGTATGTATGTATGTATGTATGTATGTATGTATGTGTGTGATATGTGTTGTGTCTGTCTGTATGTATGTATGTATGTATGTATGTATGTATGTATGTGTGTGTGCTTTGTGATTTCTCTGTGATTCTTGATTCCTCCTGTTTGCTATTGTTTATGTGTTGTGTAGCAGCACACACTGGTCCAGGGATCCAAAGACCTCGAGCAGTACTCTAGCCCGGACCAGAGAACAGAGGACATGAGAGGCACAATGCCCTTCGATCTGGATAGCTGGGTGCAGTGGAGATTTGTGAGTTCCCATAGTTTCCTCATCTTTCATGTGCATATGTCACATGACCGTTACCTGGGTAATATCCAATGTAGGGCTGTATCACTGGGATCTCGGGTTGTCCGGCCACATGGCATACAGTGACCAAAGTGAACATTACTGACAAAACTTATCTGTTTTGCACGAATTGGTTCAGCTGGCTTCTAGAGTGCCGCTCTGGACAGCCCGGCATGAGTCAGTCTAGTTACGATGTCAGTGGCAGAGCAGTGCTAGAAAGGATGTACATAACAATAGTTGCCCCCTAACTAAAGCGGCTCAGCCTCACTGTGTGCCGTATGGATAGTACAGTCCTGAAAATCATTTATTCATAGGTTGAGGGAATGGAAAAGGGAAAAGTCTGAAAAAATATTGACTGTCACCACCATGGAGTCGAACCAGGGACCTTCACTTAAATTAAGGCCAGCGACTCTCTAACCACTGAGCTATGGCAGTGTAGCTGTCATCCCATATCATTTGGGATCATTCTTGCCTATTTGATAATTATCATCTGCTCTATCTCTATTGTGTGTGTGTTTGTGTGTGTTTGTGTGCATGTGTGTGTGTGTTGTGTGTACAATGTGTTGCATTGTGTTGCTACTATTCTAGAAACTAGAGCCGTTCTTTGCGGACTGCACCAGCTGCAGTAAACGTGCCTGCCTGCGCCTGGAAGACCTTGAGGGCAGTGGCACTCCAATCAGTGCCAACATCAGTACCTACACTGAGGAACTGATCAAGTTGAAACTGGACATTTTGCTGAATGAAGGCGCAATACTTTTGGAGAGCCTGTTCAAAGTTCCCTCAGACCCAGTCAAGCTAGCCATGACGCAAACCCGCCACTACCAGCAGGTGCAAGAGAGAATATTTGAAATGAACGCCATGCTAAGAGGGCTACGCAAAGACTTGGCGCTCGCTTGCGGATTCGATGCTGATGGTAGACCGGTGGAACCTGAAAGCAGAGATGTCGAGGATGGGAAAGCAGCTGCAGCAGCAAAGGAAGTGGAAGAGAAGCAGCCACCGGCAGAAGTTCCCAACCCTCTGCGGGCGAGTATGCAACGGGTGGGTTTTGTTTGTGTGTGCTTGGGGGCATGGGCGTGCAGGACATGGTTTTGTCAGTTGTGGGTGGATGTATTATGGATACCGTATGTGAGGTAAGGGTATCTTGTTGAGGTATGCCGGGTATGTGTGAGGTATGGGTGTATGAGGTATGGATGTGTGGGGTATGGGTATGGGAGGTGTGGGTATGTGAGGTGTGGGTATGTGAGGCGTGGGTATGTGAGGCGTGGGTATGTGAGGCGTGGGTATGTGAGGCGTGGGTATGTGAGGTGTGGGTATGTGAGTTGTGGGTATGTGAGGCGTGGGTATATGAGGTGTGGGTATGTGAGGTGTGGGTATGTGAGGCGTGGGTATGTGAGGTGTGGGTATGTGAGGCGTGGGTATGTGAGGTGTGGGTATGTGTGCAATTACGGTATCATCAGTTGGATACGCTGCTTCGGTTTGCCTTCAGTGATGGATCTGGATATTTCATATTCCTTGTCACTTTGCAGGTCACTGGAACATCAGATCTTCAATAACTTTCAGGCAGCCCTTTGTGAATTTCCTTTGCTTACTCAGGCTTTAGTTTTTCTGCCTGGGTGTTTGCCTCTCTAACTAAGAACTGCATGTATACCGTATCATTGGTGATCTCTGTACAAACCCTGCACCTGTCCAATGCATACTATTCTGTACTGGTAACTTGTGTGCGTAGATTTCTGATTGGATATGCCTGAAGGGCTTAACCTTCCTATCGACCAACTGCCAGAAACCCGGCTACAGCAAAGAGGAGTGCCAGGCAAACCTGCAGAGCTTCTTCCAGTTCCGTGCTGACGCGGCTGATGTAAGCCGGGGCCAGCGTATACATGCTACTGCTAATGTAGTCGTTATGCATGCTAAGCAGGGAGTCGTATTTTTCGACTCCCTGGTGCTGAGTAAGCACAGCCGAAGCATATAGATATCACCTGCAACACTCACTCGTGCATGTTCCACTTCTTGTGACTGTACAAGTAAGTGGGTGGTGTATGGAAGGCTTATTCATCGGCGTGTTACGCTTTCCATCGGCCGCAAGAGAGTTTGAAAGCATGTGTCTTTGTGCGTAGCCATGAAAACCATGCTGGTCCGGTGCGAGTCTGCGCAAAGCGTAGGCCAACGTGTTCCTCACTGTGCAGTGGCCTACTTCCCTGATAGGATCAGAACCATCCTACCCACCCACAATGACACCAGCGGTGGAGAACTCTGGAAGGAGATGTGTTCTTTGAATTAGTTTTATACCTTTTCTATCTTTTTTTACGTTAATTTTTACAGACTTGTGTATGTGTGCGTGCGTGCGTGCGTGTGCATGTGTATGTGCATACGTGTGTGTGTGTGTGTGTGTGTGTGTGTGTGTGTGTGTTTGGGGAATGCTGCTGGTACTGACATAGGACTACATCAGCGGAGGGACAACGGTGACCGAGAGCATTATCAATAACACTGATGACACCCATCCAGCTGATCTTGTGCAGGAAGCTACACAGCTACACAGCCTGGTGGTTACGTTCAGAACAAGCCTCTCGGAGTGGCGGGAACGCATCGAGCATGCCATCGAATGGCACGCTCTCTCCAGCGAAGTACGTCAACAGCTGCTGTTAACCTGGCTTACATTTTCTTGTGGTATAGCGCACTCGCGGACGTGTTTGCATGTGCCTGTATGAACGTGTGAATGGCACAATGCAGGAGTCGTGTACATTGTGTGTTAGCCGATCACTGTGCAAGACAAATGGGCATTACAGTCCATTCATCGGAAACTGGCCCGCTGGCTTTTGAAAGTCCGATTTGGGCCGAATTGAGGATCAAAAACCCACTTTAAATCTCAAAAATCTGGGTTTTGGATCTGCTTCTCCATACTTTTTGCCATGGCATACCTGTCCTAATTTTGTAAAACCTGGCTGAATTTCTATTTCCCTGTTCTTGGACTTTTCTGGCCTCAAATGTGGCAAGGAGTAATTGCACGGGTCACACAATGCAGGATGTACTGTTGTTTTCACGATACCTACAACTATGTGACAGAGGCACCAAAAAGTTAGGGTGCCAGTTTCCAATGAATGGACTGTAGAGAACAGTGCATGTGGAACGATGTCCCTGTTTGGAACTGCTTCCCCTGATTCCCAATAGTCACCAAGTTGTTTTAAAATGTTCGTACGTCAACATGCCACTTCCACAACAGTATGTTCTGCATGCGACAGAGCGTATGTGCACTGTGTGCTGTGTACGTGCATGTGAGTGCTTGCATGTGTACACGTGTGTTTGTATGTGTACATGTGTTTGCTTACGTGTGTGTGTGTGTGTGTGTTTCGTGTGTGTGTGTGTGTGTGTGTGTGTGTGTGTTTGTGTCATGTCGTTTAGATATTAGCGTGGTCGGCACTCTGCTTGGAGATGCTGATATCAGACGCGATGACCGGTGGCTGTCTACCTGCCGAGGAAGTTGTGGAGCATCTGGACACATGGCTACACGATCACCCAGCACCCAGCAGCGATCAACGCCAGAGGCTGTCAGCGCTGTCGTTTGCCCTTCGCCGTCATAACTTTTTCTCGATGGAGACGGAGACTGTATGTAGTGCACTGAGTCGGTCTGAGACACAGTTCCAGAATGAGCGAGCAACGGTCGTCGAGAAGGTTGTCCTCGACAAGGCAGCAGCAGCAGCAGCAGAGCTGACAAAAGCTACAGACGACTCCACCACTCAAGTGCAAGCAGCAGTACAGGGAGGTGGTGCGGATGCCACGCGGCAAGCTGTTGAGAGTGGAGAGAGCCCTGTACCGGCAGCCTACACCGCGTCACACCTGACTTCCACAGCCATGACCGTGGAGAAGAGAACACCGTCGCCGGCTCTACAAGAGAAGATTGATCAACTTCTGGATGGTCAGGTTGTTAACCAGGCACTGTTCCAAATATCCGAAGGGTTCACCGACACCTCCCATGACGACAGTAGTCAGTCAAGCTTCTGTTCAGACTCGTCTGGTTTCTTCTATGCTGACTCTACGTGCCCTAACACACAGTCAATAGAGGTCGATACGGCCAGCACGGAGAAGGTTGGTCGTTCTGCCCTGGGCCGTGTTTCCAGGGTATCCATAGCCGACATAGCAGCCACACCTCTCTTGCATGACCTTCCAATCAGCCGTGTGACTCCACCTGTCGACAGCAGTGATGAGTCCAGTCAAGATTTGGACAAGCTGTTGATAGGAGATGTGCCGGATACAGGTGCCACCGATGAAGATCCCCACGCGCGCAAACTCAGGTACGAGAATGGGCAGAAGCAGTTATTGATGGGTCCTGCCACACCATAGCCTTTCATACTTCATGAATGATATGGCGGGGGGGGGGGGGCACATGACCTCTTCAGCAATACACATGCGTTGGGGGGGGGGGGGGTAAATAGTTGGTGCGGCCATGGCCTGACCAACCGTACCGGTTCCACCGTCCTTGTACACTGTGTGTTTGTATTTCTGGGTGCTGCAGAAACCAGTGTATGACGTAGCCGTCTATTCAGTCCGTGCACTTGTAGCACCTTTACAGCATGATTGGTCTTCCAGGCTTTGCTTGGCCTTTGCCATGAGCATGACTGTACAGTCAGGTGTGGACATTTTCTGTTGCGGCCACTTGGGCTTTCACCGCACACTGCTGCCCATCCTACAAGCAATTCTGCTGAAAAGCGCGTTATGTACTACGGTATTGGCAGGACTACACTGTGCCCCGGATACCCCGTGAATCAACACATTGCACTGATGTGGGCTCTAAATTTTGAAACCCGTCTCAGTGACCCTTCCCTCCCCAGCAGTAAATTGCACTCTTTGTGGTTGATGGTCGACCCTAAACTACCCTGTGGTGCCCCTGCCACTTCAGTGCATGTAGTACCATGTGGGATTACACTTGTCAGTTTCCCGTGTGTAGACCGTCCCCCACCCATCAACAGCACATCAGGGTGTGGTAGAGCAACTGTTTATTCTCCAGTCATGCTGTCTTTGCCTCTGTATTCCGGTGGTTTTCATGTAGGCTGCTGATGAAAGAACTGCTCACAACGGAAGTGAAGTACATCGAGGATCTGGACTTGTGCATTCGTGTGAGTTGCTATTGCCCGACACACGCTGCACTTACATAAATTGCTGTGATATGCAATCCCATAGGTGCCAGCCTAAGAATGTAGAGAGAGGGAGGGAGGCGAGGGGGGAGTAGGGAGGGAGTGAGGGAGGGTTATGACTTATGAGCTTGGGATGCCTAACGAAATCACAGAGTTTGGAATCGTATCGAATATGATGTGCTACTCAGTAGCTTTACGGACATATATAATCATGGATGACGGCTTTGTGATAAGTTCTGCGTGTCGTGTCATGAGCTAATGGTAACAGTTAATTTTCTATTGTCCTGCCCTGCTACCATGTCCCTTGCCGTGGTACATATTCTGTGCACTGCAGCAATTTGTTCATTTTGTAGAGAGTGACCCCTCCAAGCCAGGTTTGCTGGTAGGGAAGAAGAACATCATCTTTGGAAACATTGAACGCATTTATGAATTCAACAGAAGGTAAGTCGAATCATGATGACTTAGCCACCCTTGCTTTGAGATCGCTATGGCGACCTACTCACTAGTGCAGTCTCGTATCTGTGTGTATGTGTGTAGCGTGGCAAGTGCATTTCAGTTTGTATGTGTTGTCCCCACATTCAACCAGTAGAAGTACAAGTCCTGCAGGACCGGCAGAAGCATTTTTTGATTGGTCCAGCCCTACCATAGCCTTTCAGACTGTGTGTGTGTGTGATATGACGGGCACACATGTCCTCCTCAGCAGTAAGCACTCGGTGGTGGTCAAAAGTTTGTCTGGCCTGGCTCGGCCTGACCCACCGGGCCGGGTCAGCTGGGCCTGACATGTCAGCCAGTTCCCTTGTTTGTGCCACACTATGGAAGGTTCCCATCTGTGTGTACACATGACATTGAATGATATAATTACGATTGTGTTGGTGAGAATGGTTGCCGCTCTGTGCCTTACCCTGCAGTGTTCTGCTGCCAGCTTTCCAAGCACTGGAGGATAGTCCGCACAAGCTGGGGTCAGTCTTTTCAGAAAATGTAAGTGCCTTGCCAAGCGTTTTGCTGTGCCGCTTTGGTCACTGAGAAACGTGTTGGCACTGCATGCACGTTAGGAGACTTGACCAGGCTGTGATGTGATAATCAGCTTCTCTTGGTCTGGATCAATCAAGGGGTATCCACCAATCTGGAGTCATAAACCGTTCCTACTTGGAACACCTCCGGGCCAGTACCGCTGGGATTTTGTTGACAGGGATTTCGGGTGGGGATTCCACTGCAGAATGATGTCTGTGTTGATCCTAGCTTGATTTCAGGCTTGGAGATCAGCAGGACTTGCCATTGTGTGTATACCATGTGACAGGATTGTGCATACGAGTGGTCCTGTACTGCACTGGCTCTGTGTACATACCATGTGACAGGATTGTACATAATAAGTGGTCCTGTACATGTATGCACTGGCTGTGTGTGCGTGCAGGAGGCTGGTTTCGGCCTGTACTCGGTCTACTTCAAGAACATGCCACAACAGGAGGAGCTGTTGGAAGACTGCGCGCAGTACTTTAGAGTGAGTCATGTGATGCGATGCATACTTCCGTCCATTGCTCTAGTCCATGGGCCTGGGCTAGTTGATTTTAACCTCTCTGGCTGGCCGTTGAACCCGCATGAAGTAAAGTGACAAGCAAACAAACAACACTTTTGCCGGTGCCACCCATGTGTGTGTATCAACTCACTACCAAGCATCTAGGTATTCATTTAGAGAAGTAACTGCTAAGAAGTGGAAACTGTGGTGGTGCATGGCATGAGTCTCTCACGGCGCACTCGTTTGGGTCTCACACCATCTTGGGCAGTTCATATTCAACACAGTAACACAGTATGAATGCGGCGACAACGTCTTTAATAAGGCTTGTTGAGCAAGTTGGTGTGGAGGACATTGCAGATTCTATGTATGTGTTGTGTGGTGTGTCGATTTTCTTGATCAGACCATCCAGATCCGTGCCTCTGATCCGTTCACTCTGAACAGCTACTTGATAAAGGTGTTCCAGAGGATGACGCGTTATCGCCAGTTCATTGAGGTATGTTCCCTCCAGTTCAGTAGCTGTTTGTTTTTCTTTATTTGAATTCGCTAAAACCAAGCAGACAGAGCTGTCCAGTGGCAAGGGAGCGAGAGCTGGCGGATCATGGTAGTGTTATAATTATGACATTAGTTATTCTATTGGTCACATCATTTGCCCTGCATGGTGCTAGCTGCGGTCCTTATACTGTGACTGCTGCCAAATGTTGTTCCTAGCATGATGTGTTCTCTTCTTACGTCCGCTGTGTATCAGTTTGTGAATGTATGGTTTCCAATGACCCAGTTATATGCGCCCTTGATGTGTGACTGAGCGAATCGGTTATGTGTAATGTATACTGGCTGTTGCTTTCATGATCAGGGTATTCAAAAGCATGTGGTCGACCCGGCACATCATGAGGCCCACGAGGAGCTAAGAGCCGCTCTGTGGATCGTCTGCTTCCATCTGCGCCATGGCAACGACCTTCTAGCGTTGGATCGACTCAAGGGCTTTGATGTAAGATGCTACACACAGTGGATGGCGCTTCCCCTATTAAGGGGGCATCTCTTAATAAGGACAGACTTGACCTTCTAGCATTAGATAGACTCATTGGAGGCTTTGATGTAAGATAATACACACAGGGGATGGGGCTTCCCCTAGTTAGGAGGTATCCGTCTCACATATTGTTATGCTCTGACGGATGTGAGTGTGAGTGTGAGTTGTGAGAGGCTCTACTGTACATGCGCTGATATCAGTCCTGGTGGGGCCTGGCCGTGATTTCTGTCAAAAACTAAAATTATTGCGGATGTGTATGTGTGCTTGTGCATACTGGTATGTGCACTCACGTATGATGCGAAAGTCAGGTTGATGAGAGTGGAGGCGCATGGGATATGCTGGTGCTGAACAAGAGATCATGATTGGCACATTCCGAGGTTATAAAATTATAAGTGCTAACTTGCCCTGGTGCGGCAGAGTTCCGTGCAATTCCAATTCGCAATCTCCCTAACAACCTACTGTAGGAATCTTGTTAGAGTATTCAACTTGATGAAGTACATTCCATATGTACACTGTTAAAACACCAGTGTTCAACTTTGCACGCCGTTGTCTTCTGTCCAGGGAAATCCTGCCGAGCAAGGCATGCTGCTAAGACAGGTACAGTAGACACTAGACCCTAAACAGTGTGCCGCAGAGTGCAGTGTATGGCTATCGGTGTCTATTTGCGTTCATTAATATTGCGAAATTTCTTTCAGAACTTACCCAGTCAACAATTGCTGAATAGTTCTTGGGGGAAACTTGCAATGGATGCATCACTGAATGGGTTTTTTTTGTCTTTTGACCTCTGGTTGAGGCGTCTAATCTATCCTCCCATGGGGCCCCACTATTAAAGAGCTGCACCCGATGCCTGAACATTGGTAGATTGCATACCATGGAAGTGAAAAAAAGTAGCTCTTGACCTACCTGGTTACGCAAATCCATAGCATTTTATTTGTTCTACTTCAAGTACAATGTATGTATGCTGTACCTAACTACGGTCAAGACTCAAGAGTACATAACCCCCAAGAGTGTGGAACTCCAGCTATGGGGTCTGCAACGGCAGAGCTTCACATCACGTGACGAACCCGGACGCATTATTTTCACCCTGTGCATGATAGATACAGGTGTGTACGCAACCCTGCTTTGGGTTCAGCTTTCTTGCGGTCACTTTGCACTGTTTGCCGCAGTAACCTTTCGAACCATGTCACGTGATGTGAAGTTCTGCCGTCGCAGACTCGCAGCACTGTACAGAGGTTGTGCAGGCAGTTGCACACTCTTGGGGGTTATGTGCTCTTGCTCCGGTGCATGTCACGTCTCAGATGTTTCAGCGGCTGCTATTTTTGCCTTTCGTCCTGTCTTTGGGCCACAGGATGACTTCGTCGTTTGCGTCAACAAGCAGTTCCGAAGTCCAAAACGACGTGTGTTCCTTTTTGAGGAAATGGTCGTTGTTGCCAAGACACAACCAGCCAAGTCTAAGAAAGAAACAGAAGACACGTATCACTATAAGGAAGGGTATCGGGTGAGATTTGCTTCCAATAATTCTTGTTTCATAGTCTGTCAGTCGTGTCTTTGTACTGTAGCATGCCATGCCTGTGTCTACTTACTACTGGGGAGTGGGAATCCGGATGTTACCAATGGTCAGTTGCACACCAGAGCTAAGGTCTCCCAAACATCTTCATAACCAGTCAGATGAAAGCCGTCCTCTGACAAGGGGTAGATTTTCTAGCCAGCAGCTGAGGCTACCAGAAGCCGCGTCAGATGATCAAGCCACTGTACCATCTCTCCGATTGTCAGGTTGACCGTGACGTGGTCATGCAGTTTGCCGTGTCTGCGCTGTGCGCTGGTGAGTTAACGCTGCTGGTAGTTGGTGCCCGGCATGATCTTCCTGTAGTGGCTTATCAGCATTCTTCTGTTGAAACGTCGTTCCATCTGCCCGACAGCCGCACCAGTCCAGATGCATTCGCCGCCAATTGTTTGGCACTGTGGAGTGATGGCAAAGGATTTCCCGCCAGCCTGCTTGGGTGAACAGGCTGAGATAGCATCCCAGTGCCTGACTGCGCTGTGGCTGTGGTCCGTGTCCAGCCAATGCAGTCAGGGAGACATGTTGCAATACTGGTCGCAGATCGTGACAACGCTGGTCATCAACTTAGTTATTAGTCCTCTTGGAATGGCACTGTCCTCCAAGGGAACCGGGTCCATCTTTTAGGCAAAACGTGTGTTTAAACACACCGTTATGCGACATGTGGTTTGGAAATAAAGACATATATTTTTACATTATTTTAGACTTCAGCATATGGGTTCAACTGCTTTTCACAATCATGTTCTTCCATGGTGTAATCTGGTGTGGACTTGAAGGATTGATTATCTTCTCATTGTTGTGTATTTTGTGTGCATTTTCTGTGCCTCCAAGCTCGGAGATATCACTTTCTCCGTATCTGCTGCTGAGAAGAAATTTGAAATCTGCGTAAAGAAACACACAAAAGTGACATTTCAGGTATGCAGTCCTTTACATGTGCAAGTACATTTGTTGACTCAATTGATGCGTACGTGTGCTAGTACTTGTAGTCACGAATAGTTTGAGTTGCATAAAGGCGTGTCAGTTGATTTTGCATATTTGGAGCATCCACTGTGAACACCTGCCTGAGCCTGGGTCTCTGCTCCGGAAGTGGTTGGATAATCAATGCTCAACTGCACGACAATCGTGTTCATGGTACGGCAAGTTGGGCCTGATGATCATGAGTTTGCCGTCATCGACTCGCAAGGCGGATGCCTCCACGGCCCTGTACCCAAACATGACTGAGCTGTGTGTGTCACGTGTTCTAGTCTCGCTCCATAGTCTGTCCCTCACCGTGCAACCATAATGGCAGGGTATCCGATTTCTCGTGGCCTATGCATTGTAACTTGCTGCATCCACTGTGCTATATTTGGCAGCATCCGTCCTCTTTGGCGTTGTTTGTGTTTGCTGGCAGACGGCAAAGGAGGAGACGAAGCAGGACTGGGTGGCTGATATTCAGAAGCTGCTCTACCACCAGGCTGCTCGATTGAAAGGTGAGAGCATACTTTTAACCTGTTGGCGTCCATGGTTCGATTTCGAACCATGGGCATTTTGTATGCATGTGGGTGCAGTCAAACTTTCGGTTCTCGGCCAAATCTTGACCAAATTCAACAATCGAAGAGTCTACAAGTACATTTGTAGGTGGTAGAGAAAACTCTCAGCTATCGCCTGGAACAGGTCCGAAGTCTCTCCGATGAAGTTTGAGTGAGCGGCGAGCGATCGAACATTTTGAATTTTCTGCGCTGCGTGCTGCGAGTCAGCAGTGCGTGAAAAGAGGGATTTTCCCAGCTTCACGACAGGCGGCACGTGCCAGGACCGGCGCGGCGCAAAGTCATGGCAAGGTAAGGCTTCTACTCGAAAAAATTTGAACAGCTCCGAGCTAGATTCAGTGAAATGGCTGCAGGAGACCGATTTCGTCTCAGATCTGGAGCTGGACTCGCGTTTGGAGCATGCTGCGGTGGGCGATGAGTAGCGCTCTTGGCGAGTTTGGGCTCATTGTATTTCTCTCATCAAAAGCTGTCCAATGAGCCCAAGATCTTCAAAATCGGTGAAGTAGAACCAACGTTATGTTGGAAATTGTGTGCGCATTTGCGTGACTGCCACAAATTCTGAGAAAGCAAAAAAGCTATGGACTCCAAAGGGTTAAAACGTAACATGTACCGGTATACCCCTGGAGTACAGTACAGTCAGACCTCGCTTAACCGCATACATTCGTTTTCCACGAAAATATCCTGATAGGCGAGGGAACCGGAGAATCAAACACACATACTGTATGTATGCATGCCATCTGCTGTAAATCGGTAACCAACAATTTTCTTGCGGATGGCGAGGGATCAGGATAAATGAGGACCGGATAAGCTAGGTCTACAATCATACTAGTACTGAGTAGAGCTGACAGGTCATACTGCCCACTGTACTGTACGGTGTAATGCAGTACATAGTGGAAGTGGCAGGCCACGCTGCGGACTGCACTCAGTACTGTGTCATTGTTTCTGTACGAAGCACTGAGCATAGTACAGAGAAGTCACGTGATGTTCAACCGGGTAGCTACATGTACATGTCTGAAAGATGAGTTTCTCAAAATTTAGTATTTGAATCAGGTGTGTGCATACCGGAATGGAAATGGCTACTTGTACTGCATATCTATGTTGCCGGGCTCTTTGGGTCATGTTATGGCAAGGCGGCTGTCCATCATCAGGTTTCAAGCTTGGGACATTCGATCCACACTCACAGTGCTGAAATCAATTTGCTCTAATATCTCGTGCACGATGTATCTGTGTCTCTTTTTAACTTTCTTTCCACAGAGCGAATGGCTTCCATCACCAGTGGCATTGAAACACCCATATTCGACCGTGCCAGCTGGAGCCAGGGCAGCATGCGAGGCTCGCGGCTCTCGGCTAAAGCTCTGATGATGGCCCCGGCGACGGCGTCGTCATATCGCATGTCCTACCAGTCTGTTGGCAGCAGTGATGTAGTCCTCCCTTCGTCACCACTGTCACTGTCTCACATGGACTCGATTAATCCCGAACCATCATCGCGTGTAGACCGCGGCAGCATGCTATCCTCAGCAACGCTGAAGCTTGATGAGAGTGCTGTCCCAGACAAAGCACCCGCAGCTGTGAGCAAAACCAAAAGCTTCAGGGAAACTTCGGTCAGTATGGCAACTGTTTGTTACCTTGAATGCATCCACTAGTTATAATTTTAGCTCATTCCAGGCCAACTCTGCATGTGACACTCTTGACCTCACCACTGCCGCCGCCACACCACCACCAGTGACCACCATATCGAAATGGCTCGCCCCGGGTTCATGTTGTAAGATGTGTAGCCACTTTGTCTGTGTGAGACATAGATATCAATGGTAGAGAAGGCACATAGAGAACCATTGAATACAAGTTTGAAGGCCAGGGTAGATGGCCAGATGGCCAGAATGCAGAGGCAAGACTTTCACCTGCCAGCAAAGAAGCTGTTGCAACGGTCACCGTGAATGATAGTGCCGTAACTCCACTTACATCTTATGGAAGCTTAAAAACCTTGCTGCACCCGTATCATCGCTATCATCAATGTATGAGTGAGTCGGGTGATGAAACTGTTGCCCTTCCGATCATGCTACAAGCTGTTTAACTTCAGGTGCATTAAAATGTCGTGTCAGGGACCTAATGGGTTTCAAGTGTACTACTTCAAAAGAAGTAGTAACTTTTTTTCTACAAAAGAGAAAGGACCAAGGAACTACAAGTTACACTATACTGTCCGCTAACACCACCAGTTACTAAGCAATCAGCTCATGCGATAACATTGCAAGACACTGACCGACAGTGGACAGTATAGCGTAACTTGTAGTTCCTTGGTCCTTTCTCTTTAGTATAAATTAGTCCTTGGCTCTCCATCCGAACTCTTTTTCTTTTTCTTTTAAAGGCGACTAGCATTCCCTTCACGGACAGTGCATACTCAAGTGCCTTTTGGTGTATTAAATCAGAAAAGTTAAGTGCCTGGTTTCTCTAACAAAATTACCGAAATCAAAGTTGCTTTAAAACACTCTGCCACTCCACACTGGACTCTTGGTCCACATTCACAACACCATAGATTGGGTAGATGTTGGATAATCTCCATACAGCTGTTTCACTTATTGAGAGCTCCTTGGTGTAAGGACGTGAAACAGCTCGTATAGGCAGCATCTATCCAAGAACGAATTATTTCCTCGCTAAGGTGTTTTGAATGTGGGGCCACGAGCGCAGCGTGAAGTGGTGGAGTGTTTCAAATTATTTTCCAAATGACTAAGTTCATCATGAAACTAATACTGATGACAACACATTATGGCCCTTTTGGTGTTTCTTTTCTGCAGCTCTGAAGTTCTGCACAGTTCAGCTATGGGATAGTGCGGCTGGCCTTGGCGGCGCACATGAATCACTGATGGCAGCCACTGACAAGGTAGATACGGCTGTCTGTTCCCTGCTTCTGGGACATTTTACTTAGTCATTCTGCTGGACTCAAAGCAACCTCAGCTGGTATTGTCGACTGCAAGTCACAATAGTCAATGATACAGAACCTTTCAAGATACAGACACACAAACGCTTGCCAATTATTATTTAGATCTCTTGGCACATCAGTCTTGCTCACCCCAGCCCAGTGCACAATGGTCTACGTCAAAATGATAGTGTATCAAGAATATATCTAACCGTAATCAAGTTCAAGGACAATGGATGCTGCTTCCTTCTCCATACAGATCATCTGATTATCTTCTGGATATATAGAATAATTCTACTGGAGAGTTTTTAAGTTCTCCCATTCATACCTTCCCTGTTGATCTTTAACGGCATCGAACCATTGCAAGTTCATCTACGAGACTACAGACGACTAGTAGCCATACTGTAAGAGACTTCAATGTGCATATGACCCACATTGATTGTTGGAAGTCTATAATTTTCCTGTTTTGAAAGAATAATTATTTTTGGTGGGAAGTATTTCCACACAGTTCAAGTATAACAACATCAAATACCCAGCTACATGCATCCCTGATAGTCACTGCACACAGCTACATGCATCCCTGATAGTCACTGCACACAGCTACATGCATCCCTGATAGTCACTGCACACACACAGCTACATGCATCCCTGATAGTCACTGCACACAGCTACATGCATCCCTGATAGTCACTGCACACAGCTACATGCATCCCTGATAGTCACTGCACACAGCTACATGCATCCCTGATAGTCACTGCACACAGCTACATGCATCCCTGATAGTCACTGCACACAGCTACATGCATCCCTGATAGTCACTGCACACAGCTACAAGCATCCCTGATAGTCACTGCACACACTGAGCTACATGCATCCCTGATAGTCACTGCACACAGCTACATGCATCCCTGATAGTCACTGCACACACTGAGATACATGCATCCCTGATAGTCACTGCACACACTGAGATACATGGTATTGTAGGTGGTCATCCGCATGGATGGGTATCGTAGCCCAGTCGCGTTATTGAGTGCACGTCGGCGTTCTGTCTCGGACCACTCATAGTTTTCCGGGGCATGGATCAGAAACATTGTGCATGGGTAACTTGGAGACATGAATGCTGTTGCGTTGGTGTTTGCTGCTCTGGCTTTAGGGCCTTGATGCAGGCCAGCTGAACAGTAGCAGCGAGTTCGAAACTCATGTTGCAAGTAATACTGAAGTAGTTTTTTCCGATATGCGAGGCCAGCTGGTTTGCAAGGACAGATATCCGTGGAGTACTGTGATGACATACACACCGTTGAAGTTTGATTCCACTTTGGTTGCTTGTAATGTCCGTGCTATGCCCTCAAAAACGACTGGACCGATATAAATACGTTTCGAACATCAGGCACGGTTAGCGTAACCGTTAACGGTTTTATGCACCCTGGCTACTCCTACGCCGATGATGGGCCCAGCAACAGCTTCTGTCCTATCACTCAATCCCGGCCTTCACTCAACAAAACCATCAGCGTCCCAGGCATTGGCGGATCCATCTTGTGGGGAGTGTGTGTGTGTGTATGTGTGTGTGTGTGTGTGTGTGTGTGTGTGTGTGTGTGTGTGTGTGTGTGTGTGTGTGGTATGTGCAGTCGATTTCCAATCGAGAGGTTGCGGGTTCAATTCCCGACGATTGTGGTCGCACACGTCTTTCTTCTCTTTCTCATTCTCCTACTTGTAGCTCTTCTTTCATTCTCCTGGGTGGTTACCAACAGCCAGTGTATGCCGGAGTATGTGGTGTGGCGTGTGTGTGTAAAAAATGAATGAAAAAATGGAAAAATGAAAAAAATGAAAAATAGGGATTCACTGGCCAGAAAAAGCCACTTCAATCAGCTGTGTGGTGGATACCAGGCTAAAATTAGTGGCGGTCAATTCATCAGCCTTGCAAGCTGTTGAATGGTGTAATCCCAGCACAAGTTGCTATGTCTAACATAGCTGTTCGCTATCATCGCTTCCTCAATGGGCAGGTCTGAGGTCTGAGGTGTGTGTGTGTGTGTGTGTGTGTGTGTGTGTGTGTGTGTGTGTGTGTGTGTGTGTGTGTGCACGCATTTGCGTGTGGGGTATGTGGGTGGGGGGGGGGGGGCATCTACCAATTCCGTACAGTCCTAAGACATAACTGAGTCATAAACCATCAAATAACTAAGCACTACGGTTAATACTTGCTGCAATAACGCAGTATTAAATGTGGACTTATGTGGTGCTTAAAATTTGGAAGTGTGCCTGCCATAAACATGTCCATCCTACCCTCACATGTATTGTAAGTACCTGCAGCGACCTTTGTGTGTGCGTTCGCACATGCACGCACACTTGCAGCCCGCTCAAGCCAAGGGACCTTCAAAACGTGGTCTCTGTAACCAGGTGGTCTCCTTATCCAGGCCAGGGTGATTTGACTGGAAATAGCATCCCTTGGACCTTGCCCGGGTCCCGGTTACTTGTATACAGTCATGTACATGTTCATGGCAGTGATGTTCTTGGACAGGTGGTCGCCTTATCCGAGTGGTCTCCTTGACAGGTTTTTGTCTTTTGTGTGGTCGCTAGCTCCGTCACGAGTCACTGCAGTCAGCTCAGATGAGCCAGACGTAAAGATATTGTTGTTGGCGTTGGGCCCATGTCCATGTCCATGGCATGGGCATGGCATGATGTCCTTGGGGCTTGGGCCGATCAGTGTATCTACGATCGATACGAGTCGTACGAATCAAAAAGTAAGTAGAACAGCTGATCACCTCTTGACGAGCCAGCCTAGCCTAGCCTGGCAGTACACTAGTCTGTATACTCTGGCACTACGTAACGTTGTCGTTGGGGATCGTGACGTGACTGAGCCGTGGCCCGGCGCCCGTGCATGATCAGCTGTCAAGCGTTTTTCGCAGAAGAACTACCGCGCATATCGCATATGTCGATCGCGTGGGCTTATTTTTTCAGCGGGAAACAAAAAAAGAAGAAAGCATGGCCTATGGGCCGGATAACATACAACGGTATTTTTACGACTCCCTGATATCGATACTACAGTAGTGATAGTGATATTAATGGCCGTGCATATGACATTATGTGCATGTACACGTAGATCTACGTGGACGATGAGCATGAGCAGATCAGGAGTCGACTACGCGTAGACCTACGCGTATACCACGGTATACGTAGTCGGAGCTGCATGACTTGTATTACAATCATGTAGATCTAGCGAAAGTCGGGGCACAGTGAGAGATTTTGCGAAATTCAGAAGCTTTTCTAATATTGATAATTGTACATACTACTACCAAGAGCATAGTAGTAGTAGTAGTAGTAGTAGTAGTAGAATTTATTATTTTGATAGGGAAGGCCCTACAGACTTTGCCGTCTTGTTACAGGGAACCTAAGTGCTCTTTACAGAGCGAAACAAAAACGGATAACCCCCCATGTGCATAATAATAATAATATCCTAATATCTTTATTAGGATGACCCAGAGGCTTGTTGCATGCGATAGATGACGGCCCATAAAGCATAACAAATAATATTACACGTTGGCGAAACTTTTTGAACACAGTAGTGAAAATGGTCTTGGAATTTAAGATTAGTGCTGATCTCTACGCCTAGATGGATTACGGTACTTTTAACATTGAGTGTGGTACGTCGTTGTCCATTTGGACGGGGGTTATATTATACTCTTGCTACTACATGTACTAGATAGAGTGTAGTGTCATGCCATAGCGATAAAAAAAAAGCGGTTGGGAAGCATGTACGTACATGTAGTCTAGTCAACGCCGTTGGCCGTCACAAGATCGAGCGGTTGTTGACAGGGCCACGTACAAAAAAAAGCACGAGTACGATACGAAGACTCGTCGAAGTACAGCACGTAGATCTACGTGTACTTCAGTTCATGCACTTGAGTTTGTCCGGTATAAACGACTCCCTACTGTAGCCTACAAAGTACAATGTGTAGGCCCTGTATTTTACTTTTTAGTGTTTTGCTGCATGCTGCAAACTGACATTCGATCGAGCTAGTCTTATCATGCAAGACTGCCAGAGTGCCAGTCCGGCCGTGTCAGCTGATCGCGAAGCTGCGAAGTCACACATAGACTACGTCATTTGCACTCGGTGTGTACATAATTTGTAGCAACCACCAGGGTCCAGGGATCTAGGGAGTCGTAAAATACGTAATCTGTAAACTTCAAGCGTTCGCTCGAGTACGAATAGTAGTGTGATCGTCAATACAACTCTGCATACGCATGATACGGCGCGATACGCAGTTTCTTGATGATGACGATGTAGACGCTTCGTTCTTGCACAGCGGGTCCTGTCAGTAGCTTCACGGCAGAGAAAAATAGTGGCGCTGAAATCTGTTCTACTTTTTAGGAGTTTCTTTGGACAATCGTGTACTTGATATTTACTGGTTCTGCCATGGGTGGTTAGTTCTAGAGTCCACCCACTGTCCCAGCTCCTTCCACTGCTGTCATCAGCCCTGGCTTTTGCCGTTCAGTATATTTTGTAGTTTGCAGCAACTAACTTACTTGCCCTTTCCTCATGTAGCTATTGTGAAGAGTAGATTTCTTCTTGCCTATTCTGCTGTCTCTCTCTCTTCGTGACCGACGCACTCGAGCTGTCTTCACTGGCTGGATGGGTTTTGCAACTCGATAGCCTGCCACTATCCCTTTCGATCTATTTCTGTTTCTATCTTCACCTCTGTTCTCCGGCACCTGAAGGTTAGCTTTTTGAGTTTTGAAGGTGTATTGGTGAATATCGAATGCCACAATACGGTTTGCTTTCTGTTGTTTGATTTTCCATGAGCACGGACGATTAGTTCTCGCGCGCTGCTTATGCTTGTCCTTCACTTGTTGCTATTCTATGTTTTCTTTCCTTCTTCAGATACCTAGTACCTGTTGAACAATGGCTCAAAATTCAACCCAGGTACGTGATTTTTCGCTGGTGTTGTACGTGCTTGGTGCAACTGACTTGAACTACATTCGAAGGTACCATGTATATGGACAGTTGGGACATGTCGTGATTTCTCCATCGTGGATGAAGACTTCACGTTTTTCCCGTAGTAGCTACGATTTGCTCGGCAATATTCGAACTGTTCAGTATTGCCTTTGTAAAGTATAGTGGTTTTGTGTTCGAGTGCCACTGAAAGCTGTTGTACCAATGCGTTCGCTCACGTTGGAGACTACCTGAGAGAACCTGTGTTCTAATCGTCAAATACCACGTGTATAAAATTGTACCATTGTCTTTTCTTCGTACATCAAGGTCCGTTTCCGCCTCTTTTTCGTCTTTAGGGTAGGGGGATTACGGCTTCTTTGTTTGAAATAATGCTGTTATATGCACTACATAATGTAGTGAGTGACGTAGTGTGTATGTACAGTCATGTAATGGTAAAAGTCAGACATTATGGTACCGGCTGTGCTCGTGTTTTGTACATGATTGCAATGTGCCACTTCGGTGTTTTGTCGAACACATTGCGATTATGTAGTATCGAACGTGAGTGATGTGTTTGAATATTGCAGTGGAGAAACTTTTTCCTTTTTTGTTTTTTAGCATTACAACTGGTCAGTGTACAAACTTACTTCTGTTCCTTTTTGCTACACACCCACAACTGGCCAAGTGCGAAGTCTCCTCCCACACCAACACCCCCACCATGCTACTCTAGTTGTTATTTGCTACTGTCTGTAGTATCAAGTGCTCATAGCCAAGACTGCAAGAGTGTGCAACTCCTATCTTGAGCTGCCATGGCAGAGTTTCTTTTCTGGTGCTTTCAGCAGAAGTGCAGTCAGTGGTGGCAACCAATATGTGACCCCAGCTCCAGGAGCAGTGTGCTCACAAGTGTGCTCACACTGCACCTACTTAGCTACACAGTGGACACCATACCAACCAAGTATGGGCAGTGCTTACAACTACACATACACCTGTGCATGAACATGGGAATGCTAACAGTACACACGTATGCAGAGTAGTACACACGTCTGTCCCTCCAGAAACTTGCGGAGAAATTTCGGAAATATCGCGGAAAAAGTTGCAAGGCAAAATGCCACAAATTGCGGGGAATATTGTGGATTTTGTAAAAAAATGCATTATTAATGGACCTTATGCCATTTGTACAGATCCACGAAATCCCGTAGACCCGGTAGGGTGTTGAATGTGCAGGACCCTATTGTGTTTTCTGCTATTTCCACTAAGAAATGGGGCCTGAAGGCATTTCATTCGAAAACCTTTTTCTGACAAAGATCTAGCTAGTCATTAGTTCTAACCAAAGTGAAGAAGCTGGAAAAGCGATTGCTGGTCATTGAATTATGACGCTAAAAAGGTCAAATGCGCATGCATAGCACACAATGAACACCCTACCGGGTCTACGGGATTCTACGGGATTTCGTGGATCTGTACAAATGGCATAAGGTCGATTTATTATTGTGGTAAAATTGCGGAAACTGGGACCGAATTTGGATATTTGTACGGTAGTGCGTACGATGTACATGTACGAGTCGTACAGCAAATCATGCATGACAAAACGGAACGTGTGCTGCACTGTACTCGATTGCGACTGTGTTCAATTGCCTGACAGGAGCTTGCAAGGCAGCTTTCCTCCATCCTTGGACAACACTCGACGCTAGCCTTATTTTTTTGACTTGTCAGCCGCTGATTTGCCCAGAAACTTCTCCATTCTGGTGTCGATCTCACAAGTTAACTACTGACGGGCTTGAAGAACTAAACAACATCGGAGAAAGACTCGAATATCGTGGGTGCTTTTCAAGTATCAAGGACAGTTTTCTACAATAGCGCGGATGACTATTCAAATATCGCGGACTTTTGTTCAAATCGCGGGAAAAACGCGCCCGCGGAATCGCAAGTTCCTGGAGGAACAGACACGTCAAACACTGACGATCTGAATTGACATTGAGGCCTGCTCACCCTGCTACAAGAGGCTCGTGTCCATGCGACAGCGTGACCCAAAACGTGATGGTCATGCTCACACTACATCTGAAAACGCTGAAGAGAGATGTTTTCAAATTCCTTGACGTTCGGGACGTTGGGAGAAGCGAGAAAAACAGGTGTGGCAATTTAGCACAGCAGGTGAAGACACCGTACCTGGATGTTCAGGGTGACGGTGCATTGCAGGAAGAGTATGAAGTCTGATGACCCGGAGTGTGAAATTATACGGGTGGCAAGTGCAGGGGGGGGGGGGGGGATTGCGTGTAAGCCCTGAGAACATGAAGGCAATGGCAAAATATTGTTACGCGCACACGTATAAACATATGCCGGTGTATATACTCTGTGTGTGAATATACGCTGTATTCTGCTTTCATGTTTTCATCAATACCTTACGCAGCCATTCCCTTTGCACTTGCCTCCAGTATAATTTCACACTCCGGGTCATCAGACTTCATACTCTTCCTACATGCACCGTCACCCTGAACATCCAGGCACGGTACCTGCACCTGCTGTGCTAAATTGCCACACCTGTTTTTCTCTCTCCTCTCAACCGTTTACCAGTAACACTAGGCACAAACCATCAGTATCGTTGTTGTTTGATTGGCTGAATAGCCATGGAGCTCTGAGTAGTAACGAAAATATAGCAGTGTTCCATTGCTAACACTTGTGTAAGAACATTCCTCCAACTTTTCGCCGTCTCGGACTTTCCCGGGAGGATTACAGAACACAATAATGCCAGAAAAATGTGAACAAATATGGTCAGTTCAGTTGGTAACACCGGTCTCTGTTTTCTTGGAGCCCAATCCGAGCCGCTGCGAAAAGTAAGAGAAGTGTGTAAGGGAACCTCATGCAGATGCATTCTTATCCGCCTCCTTTCATTCACATGTGATCATCTTCTCTTTCCTTGTTTTGTTGTTGTTCTGTTCAGGCCAGCAAAGCTGCACTAGATGCCACAGCTACAAATGGACAGTCATCAGCCTCGGTTGTTGTTCAGAATGGCGCACTGCCTCCAGTCACAGCTGCATCAGTTGCTGTTGCCACATCAACAGCACCAGTAACATCTGCTGAAAGTGTAAGCGTTGCAGCAGCAGCAGCAGCGGGAGGGGCAACAGCAGACAGCACTGCATCAGCAGGTGCTGTTGCTGCCGGACCCAGTAATGGTGACGCCCCTGTCACTCCATCGCGTGTACTGCACGTTCGTCACTTACCCCAAGAGAGCACAGAGTTGCAAGTCGCCGCATTAGGCGCACCGTTTGGCCGCGTTCTGCACGTAATGCTGCTCCGACAACGGAATCAGGCGTTCCTTGAGATGGTTGATGAACCCAGCGCCACCGCCGCCGTCAATTACTACAATTACGTCTCGGCCAATATCAAGTAAGCGACACCTTCTACGGCTTTGTTTGAACACTTATCCCACCGACAAAGTGGGCAAATGTTCCGTCCCAGGGACACACCGCTTTCCCTTATGAGGATAACTCTAGTTTCCCTTGGGTGATATTGACATCTTGGGCTCTTTGCAAAGCTTGAGCCTCAAGTTCTCTATCAACATAGACCTCATTTGTAAGAGGAACAAAAATCCATCTACAGCTCCAATTTTTGAAGAGAAGTGCGGCATATCAAAGTTTATGCTATTTGTAATCTCAAATTTGTACTTTTATGCTGTCGTGTTTTGAAGGTGCAATTAGGAAAGCCTCCAGACAAGGTTTTTAGGAGGCAACTTGTTTCGTAAACGGTGTGAAAACAAACCTCATTTGGAGGCTCATAACTTCTTCGGAACATGCTAGACGCTCTGGTTTTTGCAAATGAATGGTGGTTCTTTCCTGCTTCTTTTGAGACCAAAATGGTTCAGGTTCGATATAAACAAATGAGAGACTTCCAGCTTGTCACATTCATCGCCGGATACTGTAAAACGGATTTTGGCAGGTGAAAACTTTAGCGATTTATAACCCAGCATGAATTTGCGTGGTACATTTTTAGTGCTAGCGGTTCACGTCAAAAGAGAGGAGACTGAAGATACATGTACATGCAACTTCCGATTAGCATGACTACACTTTAGCGTAATCACTCCCTTCGCTAAAATCGCCAAGATTCACCATCGCTAAATTTAGCCATTTTACGGTAGTCGTCGATTTTTGAGACCTGACTTGGTCTGGCCGTTGCTGTGAATTTAGTATGTTCTGTTCTTTTTCTGATTGTCTTCCTTATTGTCTTGCCTTGTTTTTTTGTCTCAGTGGTGTAACTGTATACATCCAGTTCTCCATTCACAAAGAGCTGCGCATTACCCAGAACTCTGGCACCACGGTAAGTAGAGTGTGTTGTGTTACACAGGACTTCATTGTAGGACAAGACGCACGGATTTAAGCATGCAGATGAGAGAGAGAGAGAGAATGCGGTGACGATCACTATACACTACATCTGCCTTTCTGGGGAAGAGGGTAGGAGGGGGTAAATGGGAAAAGACAAGAAAAGGTATGTACATGTATGCATGAGTTGTGATCAGCTAAAACTGACCTATAGCTTTTGCCGAAAACGTGGAGAAAATTTAGAATTACGGGAATTTTATTTCGCCACAAAGCCTGATAGTGCACAAAGGAGTATCCCAGCTCCAGCTTCAGTCAGAAACAAAACTTCTTTTGCTACTCTAACCTAACGAAAACCAAAGTTCCTTCCGAACAAAACAAATTGTACATGTAGAATAAACCGGGCCAGTCCAGGTGTATTCACACTGATCCTCCTCTTGTTTCGTCCACCTTCTTGTGTTGCACAGTCTCCGCCTGCTAATGGCCCTGCCGACAACAAAGCCGACCCCACCGTTCTGCACATAATCGTCGACAACATGGTGTACTCCGTCAATCTGGACACGCTACACACTGTAAGTGTACACAAGTAATGCAAGAGAGACAGCTGTTATCTTGTGCGCTGAACTGTGGGTCATTGGTGAGTGCGTTACTGACACCAACGTGCCCTTGGTAACGCATTTTCTGTTGTTTTGCAGTAACAAATGCAGCTACGTGTGCACGAGTAAGACATTTGTTGTTGCTTGGGTGTCAACAAAATTGGGATTTGTTTCTTCTTTGTATTGATTGTCCTAGATATTCATGAAGTTTGGAAATGTGCTGCGTATTATCACGTTCAACAAAAACGGTAAGATTTGCATTGCAGCTTATGTCCCACCGCTTTAAGAGCTGCATATGCGCCTTGATCCTTGAGGGTGGTGGCGTTCCTACGGACGCGACAACTCGGCATCTAGCTGAGTCTCACACGAACCGTGAATTTTATTTGTGTTGTCTGCACACATCCTTACTCGATTAGAAGCTTCTCTCCAATCTTAGGGGCCGTCCAAGGTTACCAATAATATTTTCAAAACGAAATGTTTTCGTTTGTGGGTGGGTGGGTTTGATGGAGTTTCGTTTTGAAAATAATCATTGAATGCTGATGGAGAATGCCCAGTTACTTCTGGATGTCGAAAATTGACATCAATATTTTATTGGAATTCGTTTTACCTGCAGAAAAGGTGGGGTGGGTGGGGGCTGAAAAATACTAAAACTTTTCGTTTTGTAAAAACAATCGGTAACCCCGGACGGCCCCTTATGCTCTCTTCAATGAAAGTCCGTCCATGAACATGTGACGGGACTCGGCCGCCTCAGAAATGCAACCATACTCGTACCACATGCGCTTGTTGGACCATATCTAGAGAGAGAGAGATCATAAATGCGATTGTTGGACCATATCGAGAGAGAGAGAGAGAGAGAGAGAGAGTGAGATCATAAAACGGGATTTTTTCAACGACTTGCCGTTGGCAAGTAATTACTTTTTTGTTTTTGTCCCGCTTGCACATGTGATACATTTGCACTGCACATGATCCAAGCATGTCTAGTGCGTCCCGGAAGACGCTCGCTTTCTGTGCCCTGGCCTTTTGAGCCCTGGCCTTTTTGAGTACGTACGCAAAACCCAGGTCACAAGTAGTGCGTGGGGCGTACCATTCCGTAATGCTTTGCAGAAACATGTGTACTAAAGCCGCTCTCTGCTAGTTTCTAATAATGGCATTTGTTGTTGTTGTTCGATGCAGGCCAGTTCCAGGCTCTGATCGAGTTTGCTGATACAGCTTCAGCTACTCAGGCCAAATATGTAAGCTACTTGCTAGTTATAATATAGCATGCAGACTAAGAATACTCTACTGTCTGCATACTACTGTATGTCCACAAAATGTCGGTCCATTCAAATTTCAGCCTCCCACGGCTAAAACCCATTTCGGCCCGTTCAAAATTTCGGCCTGTACTGCTGCCGTCTGTATACACTGTCACACTGAACCTTGCAAAACAAATCTTCGGCCAAACATGACCAGGCCGAAAATAAATATGCGCCGGATTTTTGTTGATTTACAGTACCCTGTGCCCTGATTTAATTACAGCTATTTTGATTTGGCTCCCAAGCCCCTGCAGATACCTTTCATTGTTTTCTCTATGGCATGCAGTGGTGCTGTCCACTCACATGTTACTGTATGCTTATCCAGATTTTCCGTAAAATGGAAAACAATTTCGGGACGATAGTTGTACATTTCCCCTCATACCCCTCCCTCTCCCCTATGCATTGGCTCTTGAAATTCCATCATGTTCCGTTTATATGAATGAGGCTGAACATATGTCTGTCCGTCTGTGTTTCAGTCCCTGGATGGTCAGAACATCTATGACAGATGTTGCGTGATGCGCATTGAGATCTCCAAGCTGCGCTCTTTGATGGTGAAGGCCAATAACGAGAGGCAGCGGTGAGTGTTAGGCACCACCCCATACTGGATTGCGTCGGATTGACACATTCCAATGGGTGACTTCAACATATCCTAACTCACTCTAATCTCAATCAACTTAAATGATCGTAATATGCAGGTCGACGTGAACTCTTCGCATTCTGTGACAACAACCCGCACAGTCCTGTGGTCAACCTGAGATAAATTGCTGGAAAGCCGGGCCGCCGTCTTGGCCACTTCACCAGTGTGCAGCGCAACTTGACTGATGAGAAATTTGAGACTAGCATGTATGCCACTTTGCACTGTAGTGCGCCTCCTATCCTTCACCATGTTGCAGCACACACTCTACATGCCCGTACATAACCCGGTACAATGCTCTCGCAGCACGCAATGTGCTACAGCATAATGTTAGCGCTTGCCCTCTACCGTGTCCGCAGCGCGCTGCTCCATGGCATGGCACTACACTTGCCTAGGGAAGTTGTCTCCGGTGGGATTTAACACTTGCTCATGTGATGTCGCTGTTACTGTTCTCAGTGCACGTTGAGATTGCACAGCTCTGTATCCTAGTTTTCATTGCTATGCGTGATGTAATGCTGCAGGGACTACACGCGGATGGATGGCGAGAATCAACAACAACAGCAGGCCCAGGCTGGCCCACCGGCCCATGCCATGGGTCCTCCTTACGGCCCAGGTGTCCCAGGTTTGTTGGGACAGGGTCCTATGATGGGGCCAGGGCCAGAAGTACCACGGCACATGGGTTAGTTCTGCAGCCCTGCCCTGCACTGCCCCGTGCACGCTTTACACATCGAGATGGCTATGTTCTGCTGGCGGCGGTGCTGGGTGTGGGTGTGTGTGTATGCCGGCTAACCTTGTCTGCCTGTGGTACCTCTGCTGGTACCTCTCTTTCCTCTTCTTTCCACCAGAAGAATGGTGTTTTCATACCGCTAAATGGCTACCGCTGGCTTTGAACAAACACTGGTACCGTTGCAGATAAACATGGGAAACTTGGGAGACTGGAGGAATTCTGTTAGTGTCACGCTGGTTCATGTATACCTAACATAGTGGGAAAGTATAATGTGCTTGTACTGTTCTGACGTCACAGTAAGTACTGGCTACACCTTGCACTACTAATCTATATATGCAAGGTCTTCCACCTGTACATTGCCATCCTTTTGCTGTAACGACTTTCTCTCAGTGTTCCTGCACAATCTTTCCGGAGTATTATTGTTTTAAAGTTGGCCTGTATCTAGGGATGATTGCACTGGGATTATTTGAGATTCTCTTTCTCCTTCTGTGCTGTTACTTGCAGTTCCATTCATGAGCAAGCAGATGATGCCACCACCCATGCCACCCATGATGAATATGCCGCAGGTTTATCCAGGCGTGCCACCTGTCATGGTTGGATCACCTGTCTTGCTTGTCAGCAACTTGAACGAGCAGCAGATCACGCCGACAAACCTCTTCATGCTATTTGGTACGTTCACCACTGTGCTGGGCCGCATTGTCTAGTGACGATGTGCCATATGTTGCCGATTGTCTTGACAATCAAACACTGATCCTTTCATTTGGCTTCTCGTATGTACTGTATGTCCACACGTATAAGTGTATGAGTTTATCCCCGCGTATAAACGCACCCTTCACGAATAAGTGCATGGACTAATAAGCGAACTTTCAACGACCAGATTGACTTGCAAATGAAAGGCATCTTGATGTGAAAATACAAGACCTGCAAAGCTACTTCCCATTGCAATGAAATTGAAAAACGGTCGGTGTAAAACTGCAATAATTGGTTCCGTAAAGGGCCTGCTTGCCCTTGGTAACTTGTAGCTGCTCTCTCTTTCTTTCTCTTTCTCTTACTGACTCTCTGTGATTTCTAATGCTACGCGGTGTTGCTCTTAGGAGTGTACGGTGATGTTCAGCGAGTCAAGATCCTCTTCAACAAGAAGGATGCTGCATTGATCCAGATGACATCGCCTTTCCAGGCACATACTGGTATGTTAAACTGTTTGTGCGTTGCTGGGTCTGCAGCTAAGGGAGGCAGCTACTTGGGGTTATTGATTACTGCTATCATTGCCGCAGCCGTGCAGTGTCTGCTTGTGGAGCTGAACCATTGGCTGTGGGGTCCATGGTTTCTGCAGCAGTCTGGCAATGGGGGGGGGGGGGGGGGGGGGGAGGAGATACTCCTACTTACCCACAGCCCAATGACAACTGACAATGTCAAGTCGTGTTTTCACTTTTTCGGCTTGATGTCGTATGAGTTTATATGTGACGCTCGTGTTATCAAATTGTCTTACTTGGCCATGTCTATAGCATAGCTGAAAATAGTAAACATTGTGTGTGTGGCTGTGCTGTGTGTTGTATGTTGAACTGTACAGCCCAGAACTACTTGAACAAGGTGTCTCTGTATGGCAAAGATATGCACATCACCATCTCGAAGCACACCCATGTCTCGCTACCACGTGAAGGCCAGGAGGTAAGTTCTAGCTGGCCAATAGGCCTGTTGCGCAAGGACGTAATTTGTACCATCAATACCCCCACGCAACCATCTGTGCATGGTCGTGTGTGGTGTTGAACAGTGCATTCCTAATCCCAGCTACTCGCATGTATTGCTCATTCACTCCATATTTGGCAATGTGCAATGGGAATTTAGTTCTGGAGCGGTCATGCTCTACTTTGCAGAAGTTTCTTTAGCTGTGTAGTGCTCTCTCTCTCTCCCTTTAGGCCAGTTTGTCTGCAACTTTGCAAACGGTGTTTTAGTGGATGAGAGTCTGTGCTGACTGGCCGTGTCTTTCTCCATTTTGCTTTCTCGTATCCTGCTGCTGCTGCTAGGGTGCTGAGCTCACAAAGGACTTTGCTGGGTCACCTCTTCACCGCTTCAAGGTATGTTGTTCCGTGGTGGCTCTTTGTATAGCTTATCTTTGGTTAGCACGCGCATCCTGTTCTCTCTGCGCCATCTAACAGATAACTTGAATCGTCTTTTGTAGATTTATTCATGGGTGGTTCCTACTTCCGTGCTCCAGCCCTTACATGCATGTAACGTATGTAAGTACATGTCCCAGCAACAGTGAGCCTCAAAATGGGATCAACACTGCATGTGGCTTCATGGCGAGTGTTCTGCTTTCATAGAAGACCGCTGTTGCGAGAAGCCTGTGTGAATTGCAGTGTAGGTGAGTACATGCCGGTTACTGAGCATCGGTTGTATTTGTGTTTTCGTGCAGCAGGGCACCTCGCACAACTACCAGAACATCTTCCAGCCGTCGGCCTGCTTGCACTTATCAAACATCCCGTAAGTCAGTGCATGCTCAAGTGCATCATGCTCTGTCTCGCCATAGAAAGCTGCTTTCCAGCTCTCCGTGCTCGTACTGCGTGTGTATGTGTATTGCTTGTGCTCCTTGGCAGTGTTGAGATGTAGCAGTGATGGACCTACATCAGGACTGAATGCACACAACATGTATGATTGTGTGTGGCTCTTGAAAAGCCTAGTTTACGCATGGCTTGTGTGAGTCAGTGCTGTATCTTTGCCTGCTCATTTGTTGCTGATGTGTGTGGGTGTCTTGTAATGTGTTTTTCACAGGAGTGACATCACTGAGGAGTTCCTACGAGAGAAGTTCTCTGCCTTTGAAGGGACCGTAGTCGCCCTCCGCTGGATTATGTACGTTGTCTGTAACCTTCGGGGAACGTTTGATACCTGCAGCTACGGTTGTGTTTTGTGCTTAGTCTGTGTGCAGTGCTGTTGTTCCGTCCTTTGTTGACTCGCGAACCATTGTGTTCTCTATGTACTGTGTACTGTAAATCATATTATTTTAACGACCCGCAAAGTTAACGATTTTCTGATTTTTAAAGGTTAACGGTTTGAAAAGTTAACGATTTTCTCAGACAGATTCAATAATACTAGGACTGCTCGTCAAGGACATTCATTCATGATTGTTGTCCATCACATGCACAGTATACCTCGATGTCAGGAGAATAAAGAAAATGAAATTTATCCAGTGTAAGAGCGCAAAAATTCAAATTTTTCGATCTCCCGCCGCTTCGGCAAAATTCATCTGAGAGACTTCGAAGTTGTTCGAGCCGACTGCTGAGCGTCTCTGCTATCATCTAGATCTTTCAATTGTTGAATTCCGTTGAGAATTGACCGAGTTACGATCCGTTGAACACGCGCTGCATGCCATAATGTGAAATAGTCGATTTCAAGCGTGCGAGGCCCAAATCATACGACTTTTGCTAACGAATTTTAAAATAACGACAAATCTTTGCTCGTTAACTCGTTAGATTTACTTGTTCGTTACATATTCATGATTTACAGTAGTTCTTTTCAGGAGCTGTGTGGTCTTTCTTGCCTATGCACTGTCTTTGTTTGTCTAATCATTATTATGAGTGTCTACCTGCACTTTTACGGAATGTTGGCTGCACTCCCAATTTACTGAAACGGGGGGGGGGGGGGTGTGATCTTTCGTTGCTGAGCTGCTTTCTTTCTTCTGGTGCTTTTCCCTTCTTTCTTTGTCTTTCTTTATATACACAGGCTAAAGGACGAGGAGAAATTGTAAGTGGGATTTATGTCCAACTTCTCTAGGATTGATTCTTTCAGTGTAGCACTTAGCGTGGTTGCTGGTCACCATGACCACAGATCTCCAGCTTTCTATGATGCACAGCTGTTGCCCAGGGAAGCTGACGTGGGTAGAGAAGTCTTGTGACGTGTTGATTCCGAAACTCGCCACCTGATGCACTTACTCTGCCTTCCATGATGTGTGTGTGTCTCTCTCTCTCTCTTTCTTTCTCTCGCTGTGTGTGTTTGTGTCCTATGTAATCACAGCAAGGATAGGCGTATGTGTCTAATTCAGATGTCATCTGTCGAAGTAGCCGTGCAGGCCCTTGTGGTAAGATTACTATTAATCTATTACCTGTGAACAGTGCTGCCAACCTTCCGTATTTTCAGGAAAGGTTGAAGGGAATCGATCAGCTACAGCTATGTATGTAGAAGCGTGACAAGCGTTGATGTAACTGTTATGTTTCTTGCTCTCTTGCAGAATCTTCACAACCTTCATCTTGCGGAGAAGCGCTATCTCCGAGTCTCGTTTGCAAAGTCACCCGTGCTGTCCTAAGGCAGCGCCTGGCTCTGCTCTGCTTCTATATTGTCAACCGTTCTCAACAGTGTACATTCTCCTATCGCGGTTGCCTGTGTAGTTGTCTCTCATTCTGTACTCAGATCTCACCTAGAGATTGCCGTAGTTTTCGTAACCTCTTTTCTGCAAGAGATGATGTCGTCTTGCTAAATACAATCTATTTCAGCAGCGCTCGGTGTGCTAGCTTAGCTTTTCATTCTCGTAGTTTTCCCGTAGTAGAAATCCACCTGTTCCCTGTTAGTAGTGATTCCAAATAACATCCCCTTTCTATTGATCCTGGGCCGTGTCTTTTCCTTTTTTTCTGCTGTCCTGCAACAAGTAGTTTCTCACACCCTGATCACGTTGGCTGGCAACAGTGTGCGCTGTTTCTGTTCCTTTCTTTCAGGAAGCCTTTTCCTTCCCCCTTTACTCCGTTCATTGCCTGTTCATGCTCATTCTGCAAATACTACAACAAAAAAAGGAAAAGGTTTTTATCTGTGGGCCATGTTCTGCTGTGCCCACGCCTGCCTGTAAGATAGTCTTTTTTCAGATTTTGCAAAAGAGCCATCCAGCCTTAGAGATTCTGGTTGCTCTTGTGCCATATATGTCTGCATCCTCTCGTGTTGATGCCCGTGTCTCGTCCCGTGTTCAATATTCTATTATTTTCTCATTATATGTCCTCCCCTTTTCTCTGTATTGAATCGCGGGGGCCGCTGTTGCCTGCCAATGCTCAATTTGTGGTTGTCCATTCTGTGCCTAACATATAATCTATTCATCCGTGTGTCGTGACATTTCGCCTGGATCCCGCCGTCCTGCCGAAGAAGGTGTCCTCGTGTGTAAGGAGGAGAGCTGTGGACGTCTTGTGGCCGCTGGGCTGATGCTGACTTGTGTGTGTGTGTGTGTGTGTGGTCACCAACAGTGCTCCTCTTTCTAATTTAAGACCTGTGTTTTCGTTTTTGCACATATGTTGGTGAACCCAAATGATGAGAACTCAAAAATCGGCTTACTGTCCATTGAGGTTTTAGCTGTGCCCGTGTATATGTGTGTATGTGGGTTTGCCTTTGCTGCTTTGCCAACTCGCTGATTTGGTGTGATAGGGAGCGTGATGCCTTTCTGGCTGAACATCAACCGTACGAAGAACGTTGTTCCCAGGGTTTTAGCCAGAGAATAGTACAATAGTATTGTACTACTCCCTGGTTTTAGCTTGGGACGTTCTACTTCTTATTTTTACTTGAGTAAAAATTCAGTAATCTGGCTGTGCACGTTCTTAGGCTGCGTTTACACGACAACGCTGGGGTGAAAACGCAACAAAATCCTTTCGGATGCATGGTTCATTTACACGGTGCGAGGAGCAAAACGTTAAAGTTGTACACCAAAACGGAAGAAAACTGCCAGATTGGCTTTGCACTGGTCCGTTCAGCGCTGATGTGCTTGCGTGGTGCACGCAGGGCATTCTTACCAGCAATGGCCTCAGACTCGGCAGCGCTTGTTGCTGAAGCAAGAATCTCAGCTTGAGGCTTACATTATTAATATTATTATAATTATCTGTCAAGTGTCATTAATATACAAGTGCATGACATGTATGGTTTAGGTACAGAAGTTGTAGTCGGAAGCACTGTTTTCAATACTATACTAGGGTAGGGAGGTTCTGCTCTACGTTTTGGGAACGCGACGCAAAGAATCACGCGAACTTTCTTCGCGTTCCCGTAACGTAAAGAAATGCTGTTCTGCTCTACGTTTCACCTAGAGAAGTCACGTGGAATGTGTACTGGGAATTTCCCCTTCCATATTTGGCAGTTTTCTGCATGCAGTTGATCGATACCCAGCAAATCCGTACGCATTTTCTCTGCGTGTGCCACAACGTAGAGAACCCCATCTCCGCGTAGAAATCTGGAGCCAAACACGCGAAGCCGTAGACTCTAACCCAGACACCTGCTCTCTACGTGATTTCTCTACGTTTCACGTATAGCAGAACCACCTAACTTTTCAACACAGTGCGTCCGATTTTTTTACATTACGAAGCCTCTTGTATGGGCAAAATTAATAAACCGATACAATCACGTCATGAAAATACAAAAGATGACCAAAATGATAAAGTAATATTGTTTGCGTTCCGGCTCTCCGCCTTCTCCACAGAAACACATGCCCATAATATCAAAAAAACGGGCAACGCCAGCTTCTGCAACAACACGCGTCCGAAAATCAACAGTTTCAAACCGTTTGGTAGCGCGAATTCCAGATCCAAAAGTGCATTTTACACCGTGTGCATGGCGTTGTTGAATTTTAGGTCGCGTTTTATTGATGTTTTTATTGATGTTTTATTGTAGGTATTTAAAATTACCTGTACCTATAGTGTAAGTTTAAATACCGAAAATAAATCTTCACTGAAATTTTCCGGTTTTACAGTACATGTATGTATCCCAAAACCTGACAGAAAACTAAAACCGATTTTTCTTTTCTTTTTACAAAGCCAGGAACAGCCTCTTTTACAGGCAAAAGCAACTAAAACCCCTGTTCTTTTATAATGTTTTATTCTTAGCACTTCAGGTTGGACACTCTTGGGTTCGCGACTCTACTGTGTGTGTGTGTGTGTGTGTGTGTGTGCGTGTGTGTGTGTGCGTGTGTGTGTGTGTGTGTGTGTGTGTGTGTGTGTGTGTGTGTGTGTGTGTGTGTGTGTGTGTGTGGTGGTGGTGGTGGTGCGTGTGTGTGGTGGTGGTGGTGGTGGTGGTGGTGTGTGTGTGTGTGTGTGTGTGGTGGTGGTGGTGGTGCGTGTGTGTGGTGGTGGTGGTGGTGGTGGTGTGTGTGTGTGTGTGTGCGTGTGTGTGTGTGCTCGCGTGTGCATGTGGTGTTTTAGCCTATTTATGGCTCCCACCAGCGCATGCATGTAGTGGTCACATGCAGAATAATAGTATATTTCTTATATCTCTGGGATCATTTCCACATGGATACTAGCAGGGCAGTCGTGAGTCAGTCAAGTGTCAAATTCGGCAAGAAGCGTGTGCTCCTCGTTGGAGCAACCAACTTCATGACTATTACCGCCGAAGTCGCAACTTCTAAGTTGATACTAGCAGGGGGTAGTAAAATATCGAGAAACGTCTAAAAAAGAAGAACACTGATATTGATAAGACAAACGTTTGCATTAGAAGAACATAACTCTATTGGATAAACCGTTGTGTATTCTCTCAGTGGTATAAATAATTCTGGAGAAAAACTCCCGTTGTTGCAAACTAATACCACCTGTCCCTTGGTGTTCATCATAAAGAGAGCATCAAATTGTTATAGATACTCTATGCAAGGTCGCGGTCAAGTCAGTTGCGATGACGCCTTCAATAACCGATCCATATTGCAGCATACCAATGATACCCAGGGATATTAGCATATTACACGAGCACTCAGTCATCACCACAGCGTATATATCTGCAGTGCAGCAGTCATTATTACGACAGTGTAGCAGTCATTATTACGACAGTGTAGCAGTCATTATTACGACAGTGTAGCCATGGTAGCAGGACTAGGACTTCTATATGTTTGTAGACATGTAACATGACTATATAATATCAACGGGAAGTTTGGGCTCATTTTCTCTGTGCTGCGCTGAGGAGTCCACAAAGGACGAAACAGTTCTGTCCACAGATTGAGTACGCGGCTGCATACGTATAATAGAGTGTTGATGTCCATCCCAGCTCAAGTTAGCTACGTTGCTGTCATATGGCCGGGGAGATGTCTTTTTCAGATGTTGCCGGACGCTGTTGTGTGACCCACTTTGGCGTGCTTGTCTCTCAGTCAAGTCCATGTAACCTACAGTGGACTGGTTCATTGGCTTCGGAATGCTGCAATCGTAGACTTGCTTGAGAAATGAGCATGGTTCAAAGCACATATTCGTATATAGTCAGATGTCACCGATTATCTTCACGTGTGCCTGTCGTGCTCAGTACGCTGTGCGGTGGATCGCAGTCGGCCCATACTCTTGGTACTCGACCTTGGTTACCCACTGGTCCTGAAAAGTAGACATGGAGGCCAGGACTGAGCCGCCGATCCACACTGATTTACGCCGCTCTGGTGGGAAGATGGATTTGACCTCGCCACTTGCCGACTGTTGATGACTGGCACTGGCTGACTGGTCTCTGAGGCGTGTCAGCTCGGCCTGCATTCGCTTTGCGACGCCATAGTGCATGGAGCCTGCCCCGGAAACCACAATGTTTCTCCACAGCTCCTTGCGGCAGTCTCGGGGACAGCTCATGATGCTCTCGTGCGCCACGGTCTGCATGCCAGGAATATGCATATACTCTGCTCCCAGGAGGCCAGGGTTGAATAGCAGCTCCCCGCACTGTGCCAGCTCTTCTCCAAATGTGATCTTATTACCATCTGGCAACGTAAAGTCTTTATTTTCAGGCGCGTAGCAAGAAGGAGTCTCACCCTCACTGCTAGCAACATAGACCAACTCTTCTTTCATAATCCTCACCGTCTCCAAACCAGCTGTCGTGTGAAAATGGTGTCCTTTCACTGAGAGCAAATCAGCCAGGTATGCAGTAAGGTCTGCGCCACCAAAGTCTACTCGCCGTTTCCCGTTCGGTATTATGTGGCCTTCATAGATAGGTATAACACTGGTCACTCCATGGCCCCAGTCCATTGCCAGGCCTGTGGTGCGCCCACTTGCGTACAGAGTTAATATAGGCGATGCACAGGCGAGTATAGCGGGAACATTGTACCTCTCCACCAACAACTACAGGAAATAACAGAAAAGAGCATACGCAGTCGGAGCTAGGTTGAGAGGGCCGAGGAAGAGCGTACACGCGCGCGGGAGAGTGTGTGTATATATATATATATATATATATATATGTGTGTGTGTGTGTGTGTGCGTGCGTGCGTGCGTGCGTGTGTGTGTGTGTGTGTGTGTGTGTGTGTGTGTGTGTGAGAGCGAGAGACAGAGTGAAAGAGAAATAGAGAGTGATGGACAGACAGAGTGCACACACACACACACACACACACACACACACACACACAGAAACACATGCTCACATGCAAACACATGCTCACACACGCACGCACGCAGGCACATGCACGCATATATAATTATGAAACGCCCACATTGTGACAGACACAGCACTTAGATGGTGTTATTTGTACGAGAGGACTACGAGTAACAGGGGATTTAGGTGAGAAGACTACGAGTAACAGGGGATTTAGGTGAGAAGACTACGAGTAACAGGGGATTTAGGTGAGAAGACTACGAGTAACAGGGGATTTAGGTGAGAAGACTACGAGTAACAGGGGATTTAGGGGAGAAGACTACGAGTAACAGGGGATTTAGGGGAGAAGACTACGAGTAACAGGGGATTTAGGCGAGAAGACTACGAGTAACAGGGGATTTAGGTGAGAAGACTACGAGTAACAGGGGATTTAGGTGAGAAGACTACGAGTAACAGGGGATTTAGGTGAGAAGACTACGAGTAACAGGGGATTTAGGTGAGAAGACTACGAGTAACAGGGGATTTAGGTGAGAAGACTACGAGTAACAGGGGATTTAGGTGAGAAGACTACGAGTAACAGGGGATTTAGGTGAGAAGACTACGAGTAACAGGGGATTTAGGTGAGAAGACTACGAGTAACAGGGGATTTAGGTGAGACGACTACGGGTAACAGAGATTTAGGTGAGACGACTACGAGTAACAGGGGATTTAGGTGAGAAGACTACGAGTAACAGGGGATTTAGGTGAGAAGACTACGAGTAACAGAGATTTAGGTGGGACGACTACGAGTAACAGGGGATTTAGGTGAGAAGACTACGGGTAACAGGGGATTTAGGTGAGAAGACTACGAGTAACAGAGATTTAGGTGAGACGACTACGAGTAACAGGGGATTTAGGTGAGAAGACTATGAGTAACAGGGGATTTAGGTGAGACGACTACGAGTAACAGGGGATTTAGGTGAGAAGACTACGGGTCACAGGGGATTTAGGTGAGAAGACTACGAGTAACAGGGGATTTAGGTGAGAAGACTACGAGTAACAGGGGATTTACTGTAAAAGCAGAAATTTTCGGTAGTGTTTTATTATCGGTAACTTCGGTGCCGACAATTTTTACCGAAAATAAAACGCACCGAAATTTTCGGTACAACCGATACTGTATACATGTAGTACTAGTACACGTACCTGGAGAACGGGTTTTACCGAAAATTTCCCGCTACCGAACCGCCGATTTTGGCGAATACCAAAAATATTACACCACCGAAAATTTCTGGTTTTACAGTTGGTGAGAAGACTACGAGTAACAGGGGATTTAGGTGAGACGACTACAAGTAACAGGGGATTTAGAGGCGAGACGACTAAGAGTAACAGGGGATTTAGGTGAGAAGACTACGAGTAATAGGGGATTTAGGTGAGACGACTACGAGTAACAGGGGATTTAGGTGAGAAGACTACGGGTAACAGGGGATTTAGGTGAGAAGACTACGAGTAACAGGGGATTTAGGTGAGACGACTACAAGTAACAGGGGATTTAGAGGCGAGACGACTAAGAGTAACAGGGGATTTAGGTGAGAAGACAACGAGTAATAGGGGATTTAGGTGAGACGACTACGAGTAACAGGGGATTTAGGTGAGAAGACTACGGGTAACAGGGGATTTAGGTGAGAAGACTACGAGTAACAGGGGATTTAGGTGAGAAGACTACGAGTAATAGGGGATTTAGGTGAGACGACTACGAGTAACAGGGGATTTAGGTGAGAAGACTACGGGTAACAGGGGATTTAGGTGAGAAGACTACGAGTAACAGGGGATTTAGGTGAGAGGACTACGGGTAACAGGGGATTTAGGTGAGAAGACTACGAGTAACAGGGGATTTAGGTGAGAAGACTACGAGTAACAGGGGATTTAGGTGAGAAGACTACGGGTAACAGGGATTTAGGTGAGACGACTACGAGTAACAGGGGATTTAGGTGAGAAGACTACGGGTAACAGGGATTTAGGTGAGACGACTACGAGTAACAGAGATTTAGGTGAGAAGACTACGGGTAACAGGGATTTAGGTGAGACGACTACGAGTAACAGAGATTTAGGTGAGAAGACTACGGGTAACAGGGATTTAGGTGAGACGACTACGAGTAACAGGCAATTTAGGTGAGAAGACCACGGGTAACAGGGATTTAGGTGAGAAGACTACGAGTAACAGGGATTTAGGTGAGAAGACTACGAGTAACAGGGGATTTAGGTGAGAGGACTACGAGTAACAGGGATTTAGGTGACACGACTACGAGTAACAGGGGATTTAGGTGAGAAGACTACGAGTAACAGGGATTTAGGTGAGAAGACTACGAGTAACAGGGGATTTAGGTGAGAAGACTACGGGTAACAGGGGATTTAGGTGAGAAGACTAGGAGTAACAGGGGATTTAGGTGAGAAGACTACGAGTAACAGGGGATTTAGGTGACACGACTAGGAGTAACAGGGGATTTAGGTGAGACGACTACGAGTAACAGGGGATTTAGGTGAGAAGACTACGAGTAACAGGGGATTTAGGTGACACGACTAGGAGTAACAGGGGATTTAGGTGAGACGACTACGAGTAACAGGGGATTTAGGTGAGAAGACTACAAGTAACAGGGGATTTAGGTGACACGACTACGAGTAACAGGGGATTTAGGTGAGACGACTACGAGTAACAGGGGATTTAGGTGAGAAGACTACGAGTAACAGGAGATTTAGGTGAGAAGACTACGAGTAACAGGGGATTTAGGTGAGAAGACTACGAGTAACAGGGGATTTAGGTGAGAAGACTACGAGTAACAGGGGATTTAGGTGAGAAGACTACGAGTAACAGGGGATTTAGGTGAGAAGACTACGAGTAACAGAGATTTAGGTGAGACGACTACGAGTAACAGGGGATTTAGGTGAGAAGACTACGAGTAACAGGGATTTAGGTGAGAAGACTACGAGTAACAGGGGATTTAGGTGAGAAGACTACGAGTAACAGGGGATTTAGGTGAGACGACTACGAGTAACAGGGGATTTAGGTGAGAAGACTACGAGTAACAGGGATTTAGGTGAGAAGACTACGAGTAACAGGGCATTTAGGTGAGAAGACTACGAGTAACAGGGGATTTAGGTGAGACGACTACGAGTAACAGGGGATTTAGGTGAGAAGACTACGAGTAACAGGGGATTTAGGTGAGAAGACTACGAGTAACAGGGGATTTAGGTGAGACGACTACGAGTAACAGGGGATTTAGGTGAGAAGACTACGAGTAACAGGGGATTTAGGTGAGAAGACTACGAGTAACAGGGGATTTAGGTGAGACGACTACGAGTAACAGGGGATTTAGGTGAGAAGACTACGAGTAACAGGGATTTAGGTGAGAAGACTACGAGTAACAGGGGATTTAGGTGAGAAGACTACGAGTAACAGGGGATTTAGGTGAGACGACTACGAGTAACAGGGGATTTAGGTGAGAAGACTACCGGTAACAGGGGATTTAGGTGAGAAGACTACGAGTAACAGGGGATTTAGGTGAGAAGACTACGAGTAACAGGGGATTTAGGTGAGAAGACTACGAGTAACAGGGGATTTAGGTGAGAAGACTACGAGTAACAGGGGATTTAGGTGAGAAGACTACGAGTAACAGGGATTTAGGTGAGAAGACTACGAGTAACAGGGGATTTAGGTGAGAAGACTACGAGTAACAGGGGATTTAGGTGAGAAGACTACGGGTAACAGGGGATTTAGGTGAGAAAACTACGGGTAACAGGGGATTTAGGTGAGAAGACTACGGGTAACAGGGGATTTAGGTGAGAAGACTACGAGTAACAGGGGATTTAGGTGAGACGACTACGGGTAACAGGGGATTTAGGTGAGAAGACTACGAGTAACAGGGGATTTAGGTGAGAGGACTACGGGTAACAGGGGATTTAGGTGAGAAGACTACGGGTAACAGGGGATTTAGGTGAGAAGACTACGGGTAACAGGGGATTTAGGTGAGAAGACTACGAGTAACAGGGATTTAGGTGAGAAGACTACGAGTAACAGGGGATTTAGGTGAGAAGACTACGAGTAACAGGGGATTTAGGTGAGAAGACTACGGGTCACAGGGGATTTAGGTGAGAAGACTAGGAGTAACAGGGGATTTGGGTGAGAAGACTACGGGTAACAGGGGATTTAGGTGAGACGACTACGAGTAACAGGGGATTTAGGTGAGACGACTACGAGTAACAGGGGATTTAGGTGAGAAGACTACGAGTAACAGGGATTTAGGTGAGAGGACTACGAGTAACAGGGATTAAGGTGAGAAGACTACGAGTAACAGGGGATTTAGGTGAGAAGACTACGGGTAACAGGGGATTTAGGTGAGAAGACTACGGGTAACAGGGGATTTAGGTGAGAAGACTACGGGTAACAGGGGATTTAGGTGAGAAGACTACGAGTAACAGGGGATTTAGGTGAGACGACTACGGGTAACAGGGGATTTAGGTGAGAAGACTACGAGTAACAGGGATTTAGGTGAGAAGACTACGAGTAACAGGGCATTTAGGTGAGAAGACTACGAGTAACAGGGGATTTAGGTGAGACGACTACGAGTAACAGGGGATTTAGGTGAGAAGACTACGAGTAACAGGGGATTTAGGTGAGAAGACTACGAGTAACAGGGGATTTAGGTGAGACGACTACGAGTAACAGGGGATTTAGGTGAGAAGACTACGAGTAACAGGGGATTTAGGTGAGAAGACTACG